CGGAGAAGGCGGAGGACGTGATGAACGTGCGACTCACACAGATCGGCGAATGGCGCGAGGCCGATTTGCAGCTGTTGGCAGAGGCAGCCGCCCGTGAGCCGGCTCTCTTTTTCCAAAGTTCGTATGCGCTAAACACTGACTCCCCTCCTGCCCAGCCTGCATTGGCCTCGCAAGGGCTGACACTCCGGCAGATGACACCTCGATCCTGATTCACGTCTGCGCTGAAATCCGGAGTGTAGTTCGCAGCGAAGCCATCCAACGGCGGCACCGACTGGGCAAGTTCAAAGCGCCTGCCAAGCCCACAAGCTGGGCATCTTGCTTTAAGAGTGCGGACAGCAGCTCAGATCCAGAAACGCCCGCCCACGTGGCGCCCAGCAGCACGGTGACCTCGCCTACCAAAAAAACTGGTCAACATTTCACCGCCATCTCCCTGTGTGGCCTGCGCAACGAGGGCAACACGTGTTTCATGAATGCACCTCTGCAGCTGTTGGCCAGTCTCCACGAGCTGCGGGACAGTGTTTTGACCCTCGAACCCACGCCCAACGAGGTCATGGCCGGTCTCCGGCAGCCCCTTTGCGAGGCCTTTCGAGCTCTCCTCTGGAACATGCGCACCTCACGCCCGCCTCACACCTCCACCACCCTCGAGCAATCATGTCGAGCTGCTACCGCCATCTCGGCCGACCAGGTAGGCTCTTTTGGCTGCGCAAACTCTTGAACTCAGCCTTGCTGTCTTCTTCAGTCCTCCGCGTTCGCCTTGTTTCGCGCCCTGCCCCTTGGTGGCCCTTTCCCGACCCGATCGCCCTGATGCTTGCTTTTTCATGCAGGTTTATCGTGCCGTGCACAAACTTGGTCCACATTTTAAAACCGACATGCGAGAACAGCAAGATGCTGAGGAACTGCTCTCCTTTTTGCTGGATAAGCTGCACCTTGAAGTTGCCGGTTTGTGGCCCGGCAATCCCGTGCTTGTTCTTTTCTACCTTGTGGCTTTGAGTTTTGGCCGGTACGACTCATCTTTCTGCCTCTTGCTCTGATGGGCATCACACGCCGTCGTCGTTTTGCAGCTTATTTGGAAAAGCATCCAGAGCTCATGGAAGAGGGTGACCTGAGCGCTGGCGCTGGCAATGACGATGCTGAGGGCGGTTGGCATGAGGCCTCTAGCAAGGGGGTGGGCGTCAGCGTCAACACAGTTGAAACGCGTACGTCCCGACCCTACCACCAGTGTTCCGGGCCGCCTCTGTAGGCTGCTTTTTTCAAAGCTCTGCTGGACATTCACAGCCGCACGCCCGCGCTCCACAGATGATCGGCAAGTTGAGACCCCCATTAGCAGCGCCTTCACCGTGCGTATGCGCTCAACGCTGGACATGAAGGGGCAGCGTCGAAGCGTCACCATCCAGCCGTACCACTGCTTGCCCTTGGATATTGAGGTAAGGCTTCTGTCCCTCTCTTCTCAGTTCACACCGCTTGCTGAGCCACGAAGCGCCATCATGACTTCATGCTGTATACGCCGCACCGACTCGCACCTAGCCGGAACACGTACGCTCGCTCCACGATGCTATGCGTGAGACGCTACGGAATGAACCTCTTTATGCGAGCAGCCAAGATGAGGTACAATCTACAAGCGTGTTTAATAAGCATCAGCTCTCCCCACCGCGTCCTTGCCTGTTTCTCACGTCAAGGGTTCATAGGTCATTGGTCACAAGCAGCTGCTACTTGAAACACTGCCTCCCATTTTGCTGCTTTCCCTCAAGCGCTTCTCCTACGGCCCATATGGCCCAATTAAGCTGCAGAAACACGTCAAATTCGAAGCCGAGCTTTGTATCGACCCCGGTGCGTATGGTGTGCGATAGCAACCTGTAATGTTCCATTTTTTTTTTTTTTTTTTCACAAGCTTCCTTGCTCACTCGCGGGCATGTACAGAGTTCATGAGCCCCACCGCTCGCCAAATTCATGGATCTGACACTGTTTATGAGCTCGCTGCCGGTATGTTTAACCCATGACTTTTGTGGGGCTCACATGGCCCAAGCACGCGCCTACGCCAAGCTCATCTTTTTGTGATCGTATTGTGCTGGATACCAGTCTTGTTTCATCACGGCAGCGAAAGTCACCAAGGACACTACACCTGCTGTCGGTCCACGTCTGAAGGCTGGATTGAGCTCAATGATACCCGCGTCTCGCCCATCGCCCTTACTGCAGTCTGTGCACCGCGCTCCGGAGCCGATGCATATGTCCTTTGCTACCGAAAGCGAACAGCAGCTTCTGCATAGGCTGTCAGAGCATGAGAGATTTCTCTTGTAATGACGATGCCAGAGAAGAAAAAATGAGAAGAAAGCATGATGCTCAATTTACAACCCGGCTTTTCCCAACGGCCTTCTTCTGACTCGCATGCCATCAGGTCAGGCAACCATGGGAAGGTTCAGAACAGCCATCGCTGAAAGCATCATCAATACTGGGTTATCAAATACACCACAAACAGAAGAAACAGAAAACGAAAAGGAGGGACAAAAACGAAACAGAAAAAAAAAAAAAAAAGAGAAAGGGCAATTAGCAGACGAGCGTGAGGCTCAGAGCACAAAAACATGCCCGCGCGGTGCTCCTAGAAATCGCGCATTTCTATACTTTGTTAACCTAACAATGAGACGCCTTTCAAGGGTGGATGGCCCCAGGCAAAGCTCGGAGCACCTTATGCCTTGCTGGCCATGAGCCCACCAAACTCCTTCAGTTTGGCAAGCTTATCATCGCCTGTAAGGGCATGGATTTCGAAACAGGATGAGCGCACGTTTGCTCGGGATACGACGAAATATGATTAGTGACAAAAAAAAAAAAAAAAAAAGGAAGGGCCCTCGTAAGAACTCAGGCTCTTTCAAAATGTGACAGTTCGCGGACACGAACCTTGCAGCAATTCCACATGGCGCTGAGTGGCTTCAAGCGCGGCACGAATGTCCGGCAGCGACTCGTCGCTGTCGTCGACCTCCTCTAACTTTTCTTGGATCATGGATGCAATTTTTTCCAGGTGAAGCAGCTCGACAGACTCGCAGCCTCGCTGAAAGTACAGGAGATAGACGTTGAAAATTTCCGTGTACAAAGCAACCTGTACAGCCGACTCGATGCAGGATTTGGCCACCTTGACGGCTTTCTGCAAGCATTGGAACACTTGCTTGCCATCGTGCAGCTACGACACACAAAGAATAAAGCATGAGAGCGAGAAATCCGTGACAAGGCGGGCGTGGCTCAGCGGGCGCGCACGGAAATGGCCATCGTGGATCAAAGCACGGCACCAGCAGAGCGCGGAACATGTAAACGTACCTCGCCACCTTTGTCGGTGGTATAGCCAGACCAGAAGAGGTTGGCACAAAGACAGACGCAGCGCACTTGATCGGGCTTTTTCACGAGTTTGGCAGACACGACAGCGCACCTGCAGACCAATGTTTCCCACCGAGCAAGAAAACAAATTTTGAGCAAGTGCACCATGCAAACAAACAACAAAAGGCAACAGACAGCCCAGAGAGACTCGTACTTGGTGGAGAGGGGGTTGTAGTTCTCTTCCCCAAACACACGCATTTGCTGCAGCGTGCCAATGATCTGGGTGATGAATTCAACTTGCTCCTTGGAGTCGGAGATGTCTTCTTCATAGACCACAAAAGCTTGGCTGCAAAACTCGTAAGCAAGTGCCTCCGTTTTTTCAAATTCAGTTCGGTTGACAGCCAGGGCGCACTGCAGGAACATCTTCAATGCCAGCTGGAACTCATCAATCTCCGTGAGCTTGAGTACCGTGGCGCGGGAGAATTGGAAGATCTTGGAACATTTCTTCTCCCAAGCCTCATCCTCCTCGCGATTCTCGTAGTAGGCAATTGCCAATTGATTACATTGGAAGACCAGGGCCGGGAGCGTGAACTTCATACGGCGACGCGTGCCATTGTAGAAGGCCTTGCGCAAAGCCGAGAGAATCTGTCTCGGCGCGCGGGACGGCGTGGAAACGGCACAACCAAGAACAACAATTCATGAGCCCAAGAGCCGACACAAGGAGATTTGGGAAAGGATTGGGGGGAGCCATAGCGCCATTGACTTGTGGGCCAATGTCGGCGAGTAAGACGGGTTGGTATGTGCTCTAACCTGAAAGTGCACATCCCGTGCATCAGGGCGGAGCTGCGCCACAAAGGCGCACAGGAGACCTTGTTCAGAAGCAAATTCCTCCTCATCCCAGAAGTCACTAGGGCAGTCCTTCTGATCCTCGGTTAAGGGCTGCAAGAGCGCCAGCATGGGTTCAATTTCCTCCACAAGTTGCAGTGTATCCCCTCGTTCGCTCATCTTGCGAAGAACGGACACGGCAATCTCGTTGCGGGTCGCAAACGCAAAGCTGGGCAGAAATGCAGTGAAGTGTTTAAGCTTCAACACGGTGTTGATGTCCTTGTACTTGTTGACGGGCAGCTTGATGAGCTTGACAAGCTCATTGCTGACAGCCGATGCGGCCTCAATGCTGTACGCGGGCATGACACAAAAAAAGGACATGAGTGAACCCCACGAGGCGAGACATCCGAAAGAATCGCGATTAAAATGGGTGCGGTAGTAAATGGTAACTCACTTGGACAAGCCGGCCTGCTTGATATAATCAGCTGTGGATTGCAGCACCTGTGCAATAGCAGTAGAACGAACAGTTTAGTTTTAAAGATAAGTGGTCAAGTTTGCGCAATCCGCCGCACACTGGCATAACGCCGAGCCAACCTCGTCGACATAGCCGAGCTGTTCGGGGTAGCAGGACATGGCCAGGTTGGCCAGGGAGGAGTACATGGCGGCCACATCTTCAGATGGCAGTTCGGGACGTGCCTACACCAGCATGAGCATCCCATCATTTGATCAGTGCTGTTTTGGTCATGATGGCGGCCTTCTTGCTTGGAACGCACGCCAACACCACTGTCGACAACAGACAGTATTGACAGCACAACTTCTAAAAACCAAAGCGGGTGGAAGGGAAAGGACGACCTAAAGCAGGCGGCGACACACCTCAGTGATACCGGCCAGCTGCTGGCGGAAGATGTGAAACAGGGAGATCTCCGATGGCACCCGCGTGGGATCGGCCTGGGCGTAGCTGGCCTGTAGGAGCAAGCATTTGGCAAGCAAGTGTCATTGAATGAGAAGATGCAGGTATGAGACACAAAAAAGATGAGCTATTGAAGGTGTGGGAACCGGTATCGCCCCCATCTCTTCTCCCATTGCTGGCAATAACTTTATCGTGCCAAGATGTGTTATTGAGTACTGGGTTCACTCAGTTGGCGATCCGGACACAAAGGCGTACCAAACGTTCGATCAGAGAGATGACAATGGTCTTGAGATTGACCTGGGGTCGCACTTTGCCGCAGGTTTCCAGGAGACTGGAGAGCGTGTGCAGATGAAATTCGTCGGGGAAGACCTGGATGATGCATTCGAGCAGGTACTCCTGGGCAATGGCGTCTTTGCAGCTGACGATTTGCTCCAGAATGTACGGCAGTATCCGCTCATCGTAATCATCCAGCGTCAAGTTGTCCAGCGAGCTGTGGTTGCAGTTTTGGGAATTCGATGCAAATGACATGGGGGATGAGGGGAGTGATGTGCGTTCTGCGGTTGATCGCGCAAAGGGCAAGTCAGCTAGGCGAGGTACCTGATGCGCACGAGGTTGGTGCCCACGAGCAGGCGAAGCTGCATGCGTTCCTCCTCGCGCTTTGTGCGATCACGAGAGTGGCCTTGGTGCTGCATGCGCACCCACAGCTTGTTCATCTCGCTAAAGTTGGTGAGGATAAAGCCGATCGAGTCAGCAAGGTTGCCGTCCTCCGAGGTCAGGTTGGTGGGCAGCTCCGACTTGAGGCAGGTGAGAAGGTAGTTACGAAGGAACAGGCCACGAAGGGGGTGCTGCACGCCACGGCACATGTCCACCAGGTCGTTCAAAATCTTTTTGGACGGGACCTGCGAGAGTGTCGGGGCGTGGTGGGAATGCATCGCTTGATCAGACGAGATGGGAACAAGGCCCAAGATTGAAGGGCCGGTGGGCGGGCCAACGGACCTCGTTGGATTTGACGTAGACGGAGCCAACGGTGATGAGAAGGTACAGGCGGGGCAGAATGTTACCAGCATACTGGACCAGTTCATAGAGATCGTTGACCTATCGCGCAGGCGAGGGCATTGGTTTGCGTTGTAGGTGAGATCACGCACACGTCCAAGAGGGGGGGGCTTGAGCACGACGCCACCACGCCACTAACTTTTCGGCCTTGCTTAAACTCATCCAGAAGAAATTGCTCAAGGTGGCGCATCTCATCTGTCACAGTCATGTCTAGCCGTGGGCGCCGGAAGGAATGGACAAAGGGCATGGGTTAGCAAAGAGTGGGGTGTAAGGGAGGGGATTCCACAGAGCACGGTTTGCTGTCCAGTTTCTCACAGAGCTCGTAATAGTTTTTCGGGTAGAGCATGGAAGTGCGAAGCTCCGTGAGGAAGGTGGATGCGTGCTTTAGAGCGTCCATAATCTTGTTGTCGTCCTGCCAGCCAAGGAAACAGATGTTGGTACGATGCACGAACGAATCGACACCCTTTGGCTCAAGAAGAAAGTGGACATCCCCACAGCAAGGGGTGAGGGACGTACAAGGCATCGCTTCATGAGAAAGGCCTCCTTCTGGACCATCTTGATCGCTTCTTGGAGCAGTTCGCTCTGGCTGAGCGGTGCCGCAGGTTTTGGCGGCTAATTCAAGGTAGGGCGAAAGCGGTGATTGCCAGCCAAGGGAGACCAAAAACGCAGGCAGGGCAGTGAGGCGGATACGGTGGCCTCGGATCTCGAGGGAACCCTTGTGTTGGAAGAGTACTGCGTACCATGATGTCGGGCTGTGGTGTGATCCTGGAGCAGAGTGGGCCTCGAGAAAAAAAAAAATCTGGAGAAGCGCGATCAAGGGTGTGTGAGCCGTGGCGCACACCCATGGCCAATGATCATGCGAGTGCCAGACACGCCGCCAATCCAAGGAAAACAAGGGGACTACCACAGCACACCACAGCACACCACAGCACACAGCACACAGCACACAGCGCGAGCCCGTTACAGACAAGGGGCAAACACCAGAGCTGCCAGGCATCCTGTCCGCGCACTAGACTCCACTTGAAGCCGGAGCTCACCCACAACGAGCAAAAAAAAAAAAACAAGGGGAAAGGAAAGGAAAGGAACTCCCGGACTCATGTATTAGGGGATCATGTAAAGACATACATGCGTTTGAACGCAGACGCCAAATGCACGACCCCGTGCCCGTCGCCACTGAAACCTGCCCGGAATCGCCCGCGTGCGCGCTGCCGTTTCACACACACACACACACTCTCTCTCTCTCTCTCTCTCTCTCTCTCTCTCTCTCTGAGATCGCGACTCACCTCCAGCGGGAGAAAAATTGTCATCAAAAACCAAATGAAAATAGCTATAACAGCTGGTAATGAAGGAACGGAGAAGATGGTGACAACAGATGTTGTGGTCACCACCTCCTCCACTGGGTTGAATGCGATTCCAGCTGGTTTTTCCGGTCCAAACGCATACAAAAATCAGCTCCCCGCGAAAAAGAAGACATATGAGAGAGAGAGAGAGAGAGAGAGAGTGTGTGTGTGTGTGTGTGCGTGCGTGTGTTAGGAAAAGGCAAACGACAAGCGGCAGCCATCATCGCCAAAATCAAGGGGGACAAGATCCGAGCAATAGGGGCAAAGCCACTGGCACCACTCCCATACTCACTCACTCACTCGGCTCACACACCTGGTGCCGCCATCCTGCCGAAATAGCCGCCGCAGCCAACGGCGCCCAACGGCCGACCCGACCGACATGCTACCAACTGTGATTCACAAGCCGTCAACATAACATCTGGTAACCAAGCCCTCAAGCAGGCAGAGGCTTGAGCACAAAGCCGATCACCTTCAGAGACAGAGGCAAAACATCCATCCGTTCGTTCACAAAATACATGCAAATCCCCTTTGAATCCAGAGAATTGCTTACCCTCGACATCAATCGTAGAGAGTCGCGCTGGCTGACTGACGTGTCGATGCCCTTGACCAGTTTCAGTGGTTCAGAACCCTTTTACAACAACAGTCCACAGGGCATCGGTACGTTCCCTTTTGTGCCGCCGTTCAAATGGCAGCCGGGTCAAATGCTATCGTCGTTGAACTCGAGTGTACAGCGACGCTTGACATGGGAATCATCTGGGGCATGAGGCCGCCCCCAGAAACAGCAGTTTTGGTTCTTTGGTTGGGGGTGAATGGTCTTGGGAATGAACGAGCTAGCGAGCTCGACATGAGCTGCAGCCCCGTGTCACTGACGTGCGCACATCAGTGTGTTCATGGCCGAGGGGCAACTTGGGCAACTTGCCAACGCCGAGCTCTGCCGTGGCGATTTGCCGCCATGTGGCCAGCGTCTCTCAACTTGACTTTTTGTCTCGCCTTTATTTGCTTCCCTTGACTTTCTTCTCGTGCGCTTCCCCCTCCTCATATTCACTCTTTTGATTCCTTTTTGAACCTCAATGTAGGTGATCAACGTTCCCAGCAGGTGGACTGCACAGTTGTGTCGACGGGCTGGTTGGTTATCAAAGGGGTCAACCACCGAAGCGTCCGTCCAATCTGAGGCTGCCTCGACCGACATCCAAGGCAACCCCCCACCCTTTCAAAGTCTCGCTCCTCCCTGCTGCAGCTAGCCACTTCGGCGCTGGAACCAGGCGCTTAGTACGGAACGTACGAGCCCCATCGTGCTACTGCGTTTGCGAAACTTGTGGCCCAGTCGTCCGTGTGGGCGAGTGGCCCGCTGCTGCTGTCTACCCATCGCTGCCACCAACTGAGTGGCTGCGTTGGAGAGGCAGCAGCTGGGCCTAGCTGCTGCCTCGCGGGTAAGCCAGCATGAGGCTGGTGGAAGTTCACGCCGCGACCCTGGTGGCCGGCGTATCAAAGGCCAACGCAAAAGATACGCTTCAACAGCTTGACGAGGTTTGAGCGCCAAGCTTTGCCTACCCTGATCAGTTCTTTCTGCCGCACCCCCCTTCTCACTCTCGACTGGGTCTCCATGGCTGGTGATAATATTGCCTAGCTCGTCCAGCATCATTCCCCAGACCTTCGTGCGCACGTTTTCTTGTTGCTTTTCAAGCAATTGGGTTTCACTGACGGGCCCAAGCAAAGTCGCCCCGACGAAACCATCGTACGTACTGCTGTCCTAGATTGTTCTCAGCACCCGGTTTTTTTTTTCTTTTGGTTTTTCCCATTGTCTGCATCTCACGCTTGTCCTTTCATCGCAATCTCAGGTCAAACTTCTGCGCGATTTACTCAAACCTGCCATCCGCCAATACTCTGTCGCGACGGCCCTTACTCTTGCCGTAGAACGCTGCGAGACTCTCAAGGTTTGATGCATGCGCGCGGGGGGGGGGGGGAGGGGGGGGGGAGTGTTGATGTTGGTGTTGTTCATCCTTCTGTGGTGATTTGCGGTTGAGAACCACCTCTTGCCAAGTAAAGTGCTCCTGTTCTAAATTATGCAGGAAAAGTGCTCACCGTAGCCCCAAAACGCTTCCATTGTGGGTCGACTGTAGCTTTCCATCTCAGACAAATTTTTTGCTCGCCTTTTCAATCTTCTCAATCTCGAAAGCCAGCAGCGCCTTGCTGTACTTTTGTCTGCACGGCTCTCTTCCTCGACTGCCGTTGCTAGCGCTGGTACGACAAATGGCAAATCTTACTTGTTCAACCCGGGCACCTCTCTCTACAGCCCGTTTCCATCTTCATGCTTGGCTTTCGCACTATTCCACAGCTCGCCACGTCCTGAAAGAGCTCCTACCTTCCATTGTCGCATCAACCAGTGGAATTAGTACTTTGAGTGAAGTACTCCGCACCCATGTTAGTCTTGCTGGGCTCACTTCCTCCTACGATGAGTGGATGGAAAAATGACCCATCTGCCCCTCTTGCACACGCCAGCAATGTTGACCTCTTTTTGTGAACTTGAGTTTATTTTTTATTTATTTTTTTTTTTTTCTTTCCTCCTCGCTCCTTCCTCTCATCTTGCGCCTGGTTGCATTTGCAGCTCCTGGTTGCTTTGGCCAGTTGTCCCGCCACACACGCCAAGGCTGAGTTTGGACTTGAGCACGTCGATCTACGAAGCACCATGGCTGATCTTGGTATGAAATCCAACGTTTACGCCTGCGGGGGCGCGCATCCTGCATTTCCTTCGACCTCGTGCCACGTCTCATCTCATGCAATGTTTGAACACGACGGCACCTCTTTTCAAAGGTCGTCAAGGAGCAGCTGATCCGCGCGTTGCATGGCGCCATGGCGAAGCAAGTGCAAACATTCTCGATGTTTCCGGTGACGGGGCATCTTCCGTTGTCAGTACTGCGCTTCTGTTTTATTTCCGTGCTTACCTGATACGGCGTCCTGCAGATTACTGAATGCGAGCGCTCCGTGTTTATTTATTTATTTATTTATTTATTTATTTATTTTTTTCCCTCATCCGTTTTGGGCTTTTGGTGACTGTCTTGTGTTCGTCTTTGTAACAGGGAAGTGGGCTGTTGCACGTTTTGCAAGAGACGGGCCCCTCCCTTTTGGAATCACCAGCGCAACTGTCCCGAGTCATAGAGACGGGCAAATTTGCCCTTGAAGCACCTCAAGTGGCCGAGTGCCTGGCCTTTATGGCCTCAACTGCCGACAAGACCGACTTTGATGGCACCCGCCTTCATCACCTCCATGGTGGCGCAGACAGTGATACCGATCGACCCACTTCGGGGCCAGCCAGCTGGAACCTTGACACTTTCTTGCTCGTTGTCAAACAAAAAGCATCCAAACTCAATTGGACAGCCGTCATCGCTGGCCTCGATTGCAGCAGTTGTCGGATCGTCTCCGTCAAAGGTCTTGCCCTATTGCTTCGTGCCTGGGAAGCAAACAGTTCGGTACGCAGTTTTGGCATGATCACGTTGAGCAATCCGCCCCTGTAATTCTTTTGCTCACTCAACTCGGTCCTCCCACGCTCTCCTTTTGCATGCATCTTAGGAGCCATTCCCTGTGCTCCAATTGTGCAAGCCATGGAAGCACAGCGGCGCTCAACTCGCCCTCTTGGGCCTTCTCGTCAATCCAGCCAACGCTGCTGCACCTGAAGTCGCCACGCTCCTTGCCTCGCCCCATTTCACCCGCTTCAACAAAGATGGCCTGAAGCAGACAAACCACCTCGGCGAGGTCTATCTTGCTCCCTGGCTCTGCCTGCAACTGGTGGAAGCTCTTCTTCGACTGGGTGACACTGCATATGGCCCAAATGCCCAAGCACTTTTTGACTACCCTTTCAAGGCTCTTCCAGACATCTTGCTCGTAATCCTGGCCCAGGCCTGCCCCCAAGGCTGGACTACGTTGCAAGACGAAATATGCCGAGCCCTTTTGCCCATGTTTCTCAACCCTCATCCAAATACCGCGCCAGTCTTGTCAAAAGTCTGGGCCGCGCGGCCCAACGTGGTGGTTGATGGCATGGTTGCTTGGTACGAAAGTGCCGCCGAGTCAGCAACCGCAGTCAATCGGCTCACTCGCATCCTTGAGATTGCGCAAGACATCAAGGCTCTTGAGGCGCTTTTGAACGCCCGCAATTTCAATTTTGTCATGGAGCTGGCTGTGCTCGCGTTTCAGCGCGAGTTCCTGAACCTCGAGAAGTGGTTGCAACCGCGCCTTGAAGAGCATCCCGAAGCCTTCGCCACTGCCTGCTTACATTTCCTTGATCGTCGTCTGACACGCGGCCCGGAAGCTACTTCGGGTACACCGTCCAAGGCTCTCGTCATCATTGCAGAGCAGTGCGGCCATCTGCAATCCAACCGCAACATCTCGCCCCAGTTGAAGAACGCGCTACTGAACGTGGCTGAGCGATTTGCTCAGCCTCGAGGTAATCGCATGGTTGCTCTGCCTTTCAATGTTGGCTCGGGCCCGGGTGCCACTGCGCTACGCCCGCCCCCCCTTGTATCCGGTGCCCCACTCTCAGACGGTGTTCATGGCGCCAGCTCGAGTGCTGTGGATTCATTTGGGCCTCCCGTTGGCTTGAAGAGCCCGGGCCCTGTTGCGCGCTCGGCACCGGCCCATCCTGACGCTACCCGACCGACGACCGATGTTGCAGATGCAAACGAATTCACCCCAGCCATCGAGGCACAGGCTAACCACTACTTTCAACAAGTTTACATGGAGAAAACAAGTGTTCACGAGATTATTCAACTTCTGGGTCGATTCAAGGCCTCCCCTGACCCGGAGAAGCAACAGGTTTTTCACTGCATGATTCGCAACCTCTTTGACGAGTACAAGTTTCTGCCCGAGTACCCGGACAAGCAGTTGCAAATCACGGGCGAGCTGTTCGGCCTACTGGTGCAGCACGATTTGGTGTATGACCATTCCTTGGGTAACGCTTTGCGCTGCATTTACGAGGCCGTCAAGCACGACCCGGACTCGCGCTTGTTTGCCTTTGGCACACATGCCCTCGCCAATTTCCACCAGCGGTTGCCCGAGTGGCGGGATTACTGCCAAGCGCTGGCACATACTCCCCACTTCACGCGCTTGCCCGCCGAGGTGCGGTTTGCCTGTCTCAACGGCCGCGGCGGGGCCAGCGCGGGGCCAGCCGGGGGCAAGGCAGGATTGATGGCCGAAAGCCAGCCTGATCCACCTGAGAACATTCGCGAGCGCGTCATCTTCGTCATCAACAATCTCGCACCCGAGCCCTCGCGCATGAAGGAGTCAGCTGCTACACTGCACGGCCTGTTGGACCGTCAGTACCACATGTGGTTTGCCGGCTATTTGGTCGAACAGCGAGCCATGCTGGAACCCAACAACTTGGAAATGTACGTGAAGCTCATCGACCTCATTGGTCAGGATGACCTGCGTCGTGCTACCTTGGCCCGCACCTACCTGGCCGTGCATAACGCCCAGCGACGTCAAAGCAGTAGCTCCAACATTTCCGACAGTCAGGAACGCACCAGACTCAAAAATCTGGCTACTTTTTTGGGTTTGCAGACCCTGGCGCGGAACAAGCCAATCCTGCAGCGAGATCTGGATCTCAAAGCAATCATTCTTTCCTCCTACGAGCAGGGCTCGCGCTCCTTGCAGCTTCTTCTACCCTTTGTTGCCAAGGTGCTGGACACGGCTCAGTACTCGCGAGTCTTTAGACCACCCAACCCTTGGTTGATGAGCTTACTGCGTATCCTCAAGGAGCTGCATTCCACCGAGCAGCTCAAGATCAGCCTCAAGTTTGAAGTGGAAGTCCTGTGTCGAAACCTCAACATTGCTTTGCACGACATTGAAGCCAGCCATTTGCTTCCGGCGAAGAACCTGTCGCCGGCATTCGATGCAATCGGCACACCAAGCTTCCATGGCGCGTCGCCGGCCATCGAAGGCACTGCAATCGGTGGTGGCGCTCTTGCTGGTGGCAATGCTGCAGGCAGTGCCCAAACATCAAGCAGTGGGCATCTGACCGTACCAGGTGTGGGCTCAAGTGACTTTGTTGAAAATGGAATTCCAACAGCTTCCATGTTTGCAGATCTGGTGCCAGGTCAACCTCGATCCATCATGAACTACATACGACCGGGTCCCCTGAGCTCACTGGGATTGGTGAGTCATGCTTTTGTGTTTGTTTGGGAAGGGTTTACATCATTCATGCTTGGGTCGGGATTGTCGGAAAGGGGCATGGGTAATGCGAACTTTTGCTGACCTTCCGCGATGCTCTTCTTTCTTCTTCTTTCTTCTTTCTTCTTTCTTCTTTTTCTTTGTGGAAAATAGGCACCCGAAAGCTTGCAAGATGCTATTTACAAGGCCATTGAACGAGCCATCAATGAGATGCTACCCCCAGTTTTTGAGCGATCCATTCGCGTGGCTAGCATCTCCTGCTTCAATCTGATCACCAAGGACTTCAACCGCGAACCAGATGAGACGAAGATGCGCCAAGCAGGTTTGCTGATGATTCAAAATCTGGCCGGAAGCATTGCCGTCGTAAGTGCCAAGGACACGCTACGAACTACTGCCGAGTCCATTTTGACGACGAGCATCAAGAACTTGCTCTCCGGTCAAAGTCAGGATCTTGAGCACATTGTGCGAGATGTGATCAACATCAACCTGCCCGTGGCCTGCAGCTTCATCGAGGCTACCGTTCGCCAGCGCTCGGTGGCCGTGTTTGAAAAGCAGATGGCACCGCAATACCTTCTTCGTCAAACACACCGGCGTGAGGGAACCACCGAGCCGTTTGAAGCAGCCCATCTCCCCTATGTCGATAGCATGCCAGAGAATTTGCGCCCGCAATTTGGGGGTCTTTCGTCTCGTCAAATGGGCGTATATCTGCGTTTTGCCCGCAATCAACAAGATTTGCTTGCTGTGGGTCGTTTAACTGAACGCCCTCCCGTCGTCGCTGCCAACCAAAACTCGGCCCCGGCCATCATTGACGGATTAATCCGGGACATGGTGCTCCTGACGAGTGGCCAGGCGGAACCTGATGCTCAGCACATTGGCGAACACGTCAACAACATTCTCCAGCACTTATCCACCAATCCCGCTGAAGCCCCCCGCCTCGTGCGCTTTGCCACTACTGCGTTGATTGATCATCAAAAGGCGCGCAGTTCCGCGTTGCAAGATGCCATGCTGAATGTTCTTGTGCGACTGAAAGACGCCCTCCCCGGTTGTGTGCGAGACATCTGCCTCGTGGCTGTGACGCAATGTGACGGAACTCTTGATACGGCGGAAAAGCTATTGCGCCTTGTCAAATTCCGGCTCGTGCGCATTGAGGACCTTGATACGGCTTTGGTTCAGGCCCTCGATTCAGGCCGCTCCCCGCACGGGCTCGCCATCCTGAAGAGCGTTCTGACCGTGGCCCTCAATGGTGCTGCTGGCTCGAGCTTCCTGCTCGGCTTGTTGCGCTCCATCACTTTGTTTGAGCGCATCGTTACCCATCAAAAGTCAGAGCAGCGTCACGCCCGCTTGCTCGAGTCTGTCAAGGCCGAGTTGGCCAAAGAAGTAGAGCGCGGCTCTGAAGCATCGAACAACGCGAGCAATGCTCACGCTGCGGGCAGTGGACCTGGCAGCACGACCGCTGCGCTTCCCGCCTCAGTGCCCGGTTTTGGGCAGGCGCCGGCCCCGACTTCCAGCGCGCCCAGCGGTGGTGTCACAGGCAACTTGCGCTCTGGTGGTGATGCTCCGACGGCTGGCCCGGCCCTATCTCGTGCCTCCAACAATGACCGTCTACGCCGGGCTATGGCCATGTTTTCTTCCCTGGACCTCCTGTCCTTGGATCAAGATCCACCTCAACTTCTGGAGCTTGTTGCGTCCTTTTTCGTCGATGAGTGGATGTCCCTGTACAGCAGTGGCTCATACGAGCCGGCCGTCCCGGCCTTTATCCGCAAGCTCACGGAGAACGTCCTCAACAGCAGTGACATGACTGCTTGCTTTTTCCGAGTGGCGACTGAAGTGTCGGTCAAACTGGCATTTTTGATGGCCGATGGCCACTTTGATTTTGCCTTGCAGGCGCCCAACTACAAACCCATTGATGCCTTTTGTGCCCTCGTCATCGCGGTCGTTCGCCACTTTGGTGATTCAACAAAGGTGGCACTTCTTCGCAAGGTCTTGTCCGTGTGCATCATTGTTCTGGGCCATGTCCATGATCGTCTCGGCGTGAATTTCAATCAAAAGCCGTTTCATCGGCTTCTCAGCCGGCTTCTAGCTGAAGTGCATACGGACGACGAGCATCTTGCGATTCAAGTCTTGAGCTCATTTGCCAATGCCTTTCATGTGGTTCGCCCGGCTCAATGCCCGGCATTTGCCTTATCTTGGCTAGACTTGATCAGCTCGCGGCACTTCCTGCCTTTGATGCTTTCAGCCTCGGGCCAGAGTGGCCAAGACTTGCAGCATCAATACCATGTGCTCGTCATGGACCTCCTCATGTTCCTGCAGCCCCTCTTGCGATCGGCACAACTTTCCGACAGCGTTCGCGTCTTGTATAAGGCTACTGTCACCCTGGTTTTGGTTATCCTTCACGACTTTCCAGACTTTCTGTGCCAATACTACCTCAGCTATTGCGATGTGATTGCGCCTTGCTGTCTGCAACTACGCAACCTTATCCTTTCTGCGCACCCCGCAGCCATGCGCCTGCCAGACCCCTTCTCCTCACCGCTAAGCGTTGACAGCGTGCCCGAGTACGCTCGGACGCCAGTCATCTCCTCCAACTACACGGCCGCACTTGAGGACTCGTCGAGGCCTGCTATTCGCACTTTTTTTGATTATGGACTGGAAAACCAGCATGAACCCACCATCCACATGATTGCTTTGTCGCTCAAGTCCATGCCTCACGATGTGCACTTTACCGCGCTCACCTCGATCAGTGGCACGGACTACAACACGCCGCTTCTCAACGCCCTGGTGACAGAGATAATGGTGCGGGCGTGCGCTGAGGAGTCGCTCTCCGATGCTGCCGTGGGGGTGCTGGGCCGTTTGCTTCAGATGCTGGACGGTCAGGGGCGCTATCTGCTGGCCATGGCCATGGCTAACCATCTGCGCTTCCCAAATCAGCACACGCTGTGGATGAGCAAGGCTTATCTCAAAGTTTACGCCGCTGCTTCAGCCGAATGTCAAGAGCAGTTGACCCGTGTGCTTTTTGAGCGTCTGGTTGTTGCTCGCCCTCACCCTTGGGGCCTCTTGGTGACTTTTACGGAACTCATCCAAAATCGCTCATATGACTTTTGGAATGCCAGCTTCATTCACATTGGTGAGTCAGTGGCCAGAGAACGCATGTCGTTTTCCTTGTACGTTTTTGACACGCGCCTCACTATTTGCTTGCCCTTCTGTAGCTCCTGAGATTGAAAAGCTCTTCCACACCGTAGCCCGGAGTTGCCTCCATGCTGTGCGCCCGGCCACGCAATCATAGTCGGCACTGATGAGAGCATGAGGCACTTTGCCTCGTCGCTCGTTTCACACGGCGGTTGACGCTTCTTGTGCACGTGTATCCTTCAACGACCTGACCCTTGTGCTTGTTTGTTTTCGTTTGATTCATATCCTGTACTCTCTCGCATGTGTCCATTTCGAGTCATCCAATTTCTGTTTTGTGAGTTTTGTCCCTCTCTCTTTCTTTCTTTTGCTGGTGCGTTGGGCTTCGAAAGTCCAGAAGCGTGGGCTATGAGCTTGCTGTGCTTTTTTGTCTTATCGATGGGCTTTGCTTGCTCTTGTTGCTCGGGATTAATGTGTTCGTCCTTTTGAGCAGTGTGCTCGTGTGATCTTGACAACTGAGCACTGTTCGCCTCGTGTTCTCCGCTTGGAGCGTCGATCGATCGATGTGAGCTATCATCCATTCCATACAACCGATGGGTAGACGGTTGCATGGTTTGGCGGCATCAGTAATTCAAGTCTTCAGCCTCACTTCCGGTTCTTTTAATCAAGGTGAATGTTGAGACAAGAATTGGGCAAATAAAATTTTTGCATGTTGAATAAAATAGAAAGAGTAGACTCCTACGGAAATGATAGTTTTGAAGGAGATAAGACAAATGTCACAATTTTGTTGTCTTAACTCGTTTTGTTCCTGCGGAGGAGATAAAATTGAGATGATTAGTTTCACCGGTGTGAACATGTGTTCTCTCTGCCCTCATGTCCAATTGCAAACATATGTTTTGTGCATTTGACCGTTATGATGGCTCTCCTGGAGGCCACTGGATGTGTCTCGGACGTGAGTCGAGAGTCTTCGGTTTCGTGTCTGCGCGAGTGCTCAACCGCAATCGACCCTGTTATGTTAGATGTGTGCAACATAATGAGAGATCGCTTCTCCCTGTGGTTCCTCATATGCCCTCGGCACATAGGATTTCTTCGTCGTGTTCCCTTTTCCGGACGATGTCTGTATCCCTTCTGCTCCGAACGCCACGGCGCTTCGGGAGCAAGCATTTATCTCGGCGGTATTTCATATCGTTCGGATTGCAGACGAGTTCAAGCTTGCGATGTGGGCATCGAACAATGAGGAAGGACGTCGTGCCCGTCTCAAGATACCCTTGGGACCAGGTTATTCGCGTTTTCGGGGTCTCGATCCGAGCCTAGCAGATACACTCGCAAGATATCAAACGAGGTACATGCAGTTTTTGCATTCTGATGATATGTCTTGATGTCTGACCTTGTGTTTATTATCCTCGGTGTAGTCCTGGCGACGAACGTCTTTTCGCCCTGTGTCGAGAGCGGTATACATGTGATAAGCGGGTCGACAACGGACAAGGTCAAGAAGTTGGCCTCGTGCGCAAGGTGCCTTCAAAGGATATTGCCGAGAAAGGCGAAATCATCTACGCACAGCGACACCTCCAGATCTGTGCTTTTCTGACTTGCCTCGGCTCCAGGTTTGTTTGATCGTCGCTGCTGGCATAAACACGAGCAAGTCTTATTTTTCTTCCCATGTCGCACGCTGTAGTCTGCGCCCTTTCGTGAATAAGCTCCGAGCTGCTTTTTCGGGTGAGAAACAACACGAACTGGGGCGGCCTCCCGCGCCTGGACTGGGGCCTGCGGAAGAAGCAGCCGAGTTGTTGTTTTTCGCAGAGGCCATGATCGCCAGCACGTATCTGCACCTGAAGTCGGTGCGGGCAGATATGTTGTCCATCTCCATGCACTTGTCGCGCAATAATCAGACCTCAAACCGGATTTTGAAGGTCTTGTTCGCAACACTTGGTTCTCTATTGGATTGGTTTTCGGAGGATTTCCCTGAAAATTGTGAACCTGGCGAACAAGGCACATCCGGTTACCAGCCAGCTGCTATTTGGATACATGTAAGATGATGCTCGGCCAACCGCAATATCATAATGGAATCACATGCACGTGACAAGCTAATTTTTGTTGTTGCTTTGTAGCTGAGCCATTATTCCAAAACATGGGAGTCCATGCGACGCATGCGAAACGCCGTATTACATGGCGTATCCATCGGTGCGCTCAAAAAATACCGGGCAAATGCAGAGCAAGGCACCATCATGGCAAATTCCATCCCTGAGAAAGCTTTGCTGTTCTGTCTTCAAGCCGATCTGTCTGATTCGGGGCACACCGACAGCGAAGTCCCAGTACTCAACGATGGCCAATCAAAAAAAACTAGGCGGCAGGTCAAGTCTCGCTCGCGTGCCAAACGCGATAGTATTGGTGCGATGCAGGCTTCCCATGCGTCTGTCACATTGTGACAAGCCGTCGTAGGCGTCTAATAATGTGATCTGAACTGGTTGTAGATATCGACTTTTTGGATGAGAACAACGGCGACTTGCCTATCCCAATCAAGCGTGTTTTGCAGGATTTCAAAGATTACGGCGAGGCACATGCGCGTGACCGGGAGGCTCAGGACGCGCGCCGTCGAAAAAAAGATCGACGACGCTCCAAAAAAGACCGAGCACTTCTGCGCGAGGCGATGAAGGTGATCAAGCAGCAGAGCGTAGCGCAAGCCGAGATGATGAAGCAGCAGGGCGTAGCGCAAGCCGAGATGATGAAGCAGCAGAGCGTAGCGCAAGCCGAGATGATGAAAGAGGTTTTGGCGGTTTGCAAAACCCTTGCGCCGCCGACTGTGGCATCCGCATCGGGAGGTCCATCGCCACCCACCCCTTCCTCCCCAACACGAAACGTGTATTTTCGCATCGGGGGTGACATTGGACAAATGATCACCAAATAAAGTGGGGGCAGCCTGGACATAGCATAATCAATTCAAATGAAGCATGTCATATGAATGACGGTGTCTGATCAAGACAAAGTAGTGAATTTATGAGTCATGGCTCAAGGGCCGGGGGCCACACATGCTCGTCGGCCATGAGCCTGTGAGATATTCTTGCATCGTTGGGCCGTTGGCAACCTGAAATCGATCCGCTGTCATATTCACCACTCCAGTTTTCCATCGTTGTAATATGACCAGGTTGTGCATCAAGTGAATGAAAATAAACCGATTGTTCAGATCTGACTGTGCGATGCCGCATGATTTGCTTCTCAAGCGTCGGAAGAAGAACTTGACACCTGAATGCATTGTTGATACAATCGTCACATAGGAAAGCATGAGCATTGAACTCAAAGCTACGATTTCAGGCAAGCAGGATTGGTTCGAACCGTATCCATCTGCTCCAATGATGTGCTCAACGCTGACACGGACAGCCTTGGCTTGACGCTCATAGTCCTGCGAAACTCAAATCAAGTGAGCAAGGGTACTCGATAGAGGACAGCGCTCAAGACAAGATTAGAGCGCACGTGGCAGTCGGCATTCGACGATGGGTTTGCGATTACAAGCCCGCGAGTTGGAGTGTGCGTATAGCCGCAGTCTCCAAGAAGCACATGATGGGCCGGCCAATGTTCCTGGACCAGTTCAAGCGTGCGACTCAGACGTATCATCTTCCTAAAATGTGAATTAACAAAGATGATAATTTGAATCATATTGGACGTGTATTGTAGGGAGAATGCGAATAACCTTACTTGTCGTTGACAGTCCCAGGATATGGGCCGTGGACGCTGACCCCAAGGCCACTAGCGTCAGTGATAATCTGGCCTTTGAGCGCATGCATCTGGTTCGTATCAAAGATGAAACACAACAAGACGCGTTCATCAATGAGATTCAGCCCAAAGCTGAAATCAACACAACAACGGTACACACACGATGATTGCCGTCGTAGTTCACCCGCTGGTTACGGTTGCGACCACTGGGCCTGAAGATCGGATACACGGTTCCGTCGACAAAGGCAGCGATGCGTGGCGGGCAATCGGGTTCTGCGCGTAGTCGGGGAGCGAGGAAATGGCCAACACCTTTGCCCTGGTATGCCTCGATGTGTCTTGCACTCCACGCAACATACTCATGCATCGTCAGCCAAGGATGCCATAAGACTAGCGGTTTGAAAGCGGTGGCAACGGCATCCTCAATGCTCGCTACGCACGCACTGACAACCACTTCACTCACAACAAGCCCCATCAGTTCCACGATATCGCGGTATGTCCGCTCACAACTCGTGTTGTATGCAAGGGTGCATTGTAAAGCGACATTAAAAGGGAGTGGACGCTGCTTTCTGGCACGCATAGCAGATTGATACCTATGGTGGAGCAGCCACAACCACGAAAGACATCATTGCATGATATCGAAGTTTTAAGCAGATATGATATCGAGGAACGTGCAGACAGGGTGATAACATACGCTTCAACAAGAGGGGATTGTGCGGCGTCTTCCATTGCCTCAACAGCCTCGTGTATCGCAGCCAAAGAATGAAATGCAAACAGGGATCGGAATCGGTCCATGTCGTGGAGGGCTGCGGGCAAATGCTGACCGCGAAAAGTGGCAACAATCCTCGGTCGTATGGTCTCAAAATCTCTCAGCGATATTCGAGATGCCTGCTCTGCTGCGATCACGCTAGCCAAACGCCAAGCCCAATCATACTGATCGGGGCGAGTCGAATCAAGCAAACGCAACAACACCTGTTCAAACACGGCCCAGTACTTCTTCACCGCCAAACGGCGAATCGTGGCCTTCTCGAGAGTATCATAGTTCTTGCTAGACATGAACGCTTTGAGGACCAGATGTTTCCGCAACAGAGCTACCGACGCTTCCATGGCGCCGATCAGCGAAAAGTATGACATTTTCTAACGGTCATTATTTTATCTTCTGACCCACCAGGTTTAGACAAGCTTTCCAGCGTCTCAAGAGATTAATTTTAGCCAGCATCCTTCAGCATCCCGGGCGCTACTAAATGTTCGTATTTTAATCCCCTTGTTTATCTTAAAAACGCTGTTTCCGTAGGAGCCTAGTGAAGGGAATAATATCAATTTTCTGGAAAGGCTTTTGGCATGTAGATGAATCGAGTTGCTGGCACAGGTGCGATTCTCTGCAGAGCAGTGGCTTTCATAGCAAGAAGGGATAGAAATCAAGACACCAAAAATGCAAGGAGAAGGAACATGACATTGGAAAGATGAACAAAAGAGGAAGAAAGCCACAGCTGCATCGAAAGAGCACAACTGATCTTCGGCCCCCAGACCACCAAAGCGGCAGGAAGGACGGAAGAGCCGGGCAACCAGGTGCACGAACCACTATGTCTATGGATTAGATCAAAATGGCGTTTGTGTAAGGACAATAGTCGACCTCGCGCCACAAGTAGCCGTACGAGTCCGTAGCCACCAAATAATCACCAAAAAACGCCAACTTGTCAGCGCTTTCGCAGCCAAAGTCGACGTCCTGTTCAAGATTGCCGAGGCGCCTCAGCTGACCACTCTCATCAGCAATGAAGAGGTCAGCTGAATCAAGACCAAAGTCACGCACAGCAATGTCTGTGACCATGCCAGACATGTTGAAGATGCCCATGGTTGAATTTACTGCGTCTTCAGTCAGAATGTAGGCCTTGACTACACCATCTGGGAAACCGAGAAAAGCAAAGTAGCTGTGCACCTCGATCGCGCTAGGCGCGGCGTGGACGGGGAAGTTCAGGGGATATCCAAGGGCCTGGAGAGAAAAGCTTTCGTCTGAAGCTTGTGTAAGAGCCAAGGTGATAAGCTCGCTACTGGCCAACATGCTGACATTGTACACGGTACAGGAGGCCGAAGTCAGACTACCCTCGTAGAGGGTACCAGGGGAGTCGATGGCCACAAAGCCATGGCCAGCCACAAAGGTCACACCCGTGAGGTAGCCACAAGATGCAAGCGTCTCGTTGCTCAGCACGCCATCGATCGTCATATAGACAACACCATCGGCCCCGACGGAATAATAGTTCTCGTGATCCACGAAGAAGACGCTGGTGACCATGCCTTCATGCTGGTATGGCAGCTTGATGAATGTGTCGTGCGTCACGCGATAACGGAACACGCAGCCCTCCGATGTACCATACATGTTCGTGTCCAACGCCGTCACGATGGGCTGAACAGCATCCACCTCGAACACGGGCTCCATGTTAATGTAGGGGGAGCGCGAGGTCACGCAAACACCAGCATTATCCACTGCGTAGCTAGTGCCAGCACCAGAGAAGCGGAGAGCGACTCGCACGGCATCACCGATGTGGGCATCACCAAGTTCGGGCGTATAAGACAGCGTGTATTCTTGCCAGGAAGTGGTAACGCTCTCGCTGACGACCGAGGCAAAGATCAAGACTTGGTTCTGCGCGTCACGGAACTCCAGGCGCATGGTGTTGGAAGTCACCTGGTTGGCTGACTTGGCGACCCAAACGGAAAACGTGACCTCTTGACCGGGGCAATATGAGAGGTTGGTATCCTGATACACCGCCGTGTTGACGTTGATAGAGTCAAACACCACCAAAAACTGAGAGCCCCATGGTGTGTCGGCGGGGCCGACGGAACCACCTTCCTGGGCAATGCGCACGTTGGTGGTCTTACCAGTGGCAGTCCATCCAGTGATGGGTTTGAGCACACCCTGCTGGGCCACGTCATAAACCTCAAAGCTGGCGTCGTTCATACGGATGCAATCATTCACTGGGGGCATTTCCGTCACCGTGGTGCTTGTTGTTGAACTGGTGGAGGAGGTAGAGCTCGTGGATGAGGTTGACGAAGTCGATGTAGTGGAGCTAGTCGACGACGTTGAGGAAGTTGATGAGGTTGAGCTCGTCGATGACGTGGTTGAGGTGGACGAAGTGGACGAAGTTGAGCTGGTAGACGAAGTGGACGAGGTGGACGAAGTGGACGAAGTTGAGCTAGTGGATGAAGTGGATGTGGTGGAGCTGGTCGACGACGTTGAAGTTGTCGAGCTGGTTGATGAGGTCGAGGAGATGGTGGTCGTGGTCGTGTAAGAAAAGCCACAGGCACTGGTGTCGGCCACAGCAGGGCTGATGCCAATACCACCGTAACTGAAAGCGATGACAACTTTGCTGCACAAAATCGATGGATCGTAGCCGATCGTCCCAATGTCAGGCATGAAAAAGCGCACCGTCTGCCATGACCCGTGACTCGAGATGGAGTTGGTCTGCACGATGTTGGACGCAACAACGGTCTGGTCCTCGGTGCGCAGCTCCATTGACATGGTGCCACCGCAAGTTGTGCACGCGGGCCGGTAAACCTTGGCTCGGAAGCGAATGACGTCGTATTCGCCGTATGAAATGTTCAAAACGTTGTAGATGCCATAGTCGGAGCCCTGTGCACCCATGTTCACCAAATATTGGCGGTTGCCGTCAGTATCAGGTGCAGACACATGGTCTTGGTCGATGATGGTCAACAGCTCCGAACCGGCCTGGTAGGTCCATCCGTAATCGGAAGTTGGGATGGCGGCCGTATGACTGATACCAGTGGTCGGTGTTTGAAAGTCGCTGTCTTCGATAAACAGGTCCGTGCAACCCCTGAGAAACAAAAGCATGTAACGAGTATGTATCAAATGATCGTGGTGAGTCACGGACGACAGAAGAATGATCAAGACTGCAGGCACCGTGGGGATGTGGGAGCGAGAGGGGGTCATAACCTACGCGTCAAAGGGCTGTGTTGTCACAGTGGTAGTTGTTGAAGTACTGGTAGTACTGGTCGTAGTGGTCGTGCTCGTTGATGTAGAAGTAACCGTACTGTATCGGTTGTTGGCACAGAAACGGAAGTTGTCAAAGGAGACGGTTAGACCAGTGCCTGTGAAGTAGACGCGGAGGTAAACTTGCTTGCCCAAAAGGCTATTGTCAGTCACTTTGTACGTGACGGTCTGGTCTTGGAAGGTAGTCGTGAGAAGGGCCGAGTACACGGTCTCCTCGGCAACAATGTTGCGGTTCTCGTCCGTGATGGCCAACTTCATGTTGCTGGTGTAGGGCATGGCCAGCTTGCCGGCAGCGACAGTGAAGCGGAGGGTCTCACCCAGCCGAAACGTCAGACCAGTGTTGTAGTACATGCCGGCTTTGCTGGCTGCGGCGGCAGCAGAGAAAATGTATGCATACTTGGTACCATCAGCAGCCGTGCTCGGACCAACACGAGATTGACCATTGGTGACGCGGATACTGGGCTGGGCAGAGTCCCACCCGCTACCCAAGGTGATGTAAGAGTCTTGAGGACCGTTCACCTTCACGCGCTCAAAGCTGTGATCAGTGATGGTCACACAGCTCGACAGATCCATGGTGGTGGTCGAGGTCGAGGTCGATGTGGAGGAGGTAGAAGATGTCGACGAGGTTGATGAGGTCGATGAAGAAGAAGAAGTGGACGACGTCGATGAGGTTGTGGAGGTGGACGAGGTGCTAGAGGTTGTGGAGGTGGACGAGGTGGACGAGGTGCTAGAGGTGGACGAGGTGCTAGAGGTGCTAGAGGTGCTAGAGGTCGACGAGGTTGTTGAGGTGGACGTAGTGCTAGTCGTGGTCGTAGACGTGGTCGTGGTCGAGGTCGTAGGAATGGCTTCAACCGCTGCACAAGCGGCATCAAAGGCTGCGCTCAAGCCAGCCCCGTTAAATTGAACACCAACACGCACCGTAGATCCGATAAACTCAGAGGTATCCTCAATGCTGAACACAACCTCGATGGTTGTCAGGGATGTCGTGCTGAGCGACCCTGAATACACTGGGTACGACGCCACGATGTCACCGTCACTGGTACGCAACTCGACTGAGAAAAAGCTGGTGTAAGTGACAGTGGAAACCCGGCCCACGACGACACCAAACTTGTACTCGGTGAAGGGCTTGTAAGTGATGGCCAGGTCCTGCCAAAAGCCAGAACCAGTCACGTCCTCGCCACTGTTCAGGGCGTACATGAACTGACCGCCGAATTCACTGGCACCTGGAGTGCGGCCGGCTTTGGGGGGTCCATAGACGAAAGGAGTGCCAACAAACTGCCAATAGGTACTAGGAAAAGTTGATTCCGAGCTGACAGTAATGGTGGAAAAGTTGAAATCCTGCACCAGGCAGTCCCTGTCGCCATAACTAGGAACAACAGTGGTGCTTGTCGTACTGGTGCTTGTCGAGCTGGTGGACGATGTTGAGCTGGTGGACGATGTTGAGCTGGTGGATGACGTTGAAGATGTAGTTGACGTTGAGCTTGTGGAAGAAGTGGAGCTTGTAGAAGAGGTTGAAGATGACGATGACGAGGAAGAGCTGCTCGATGTTGACGAGGTTGAGCTGGAGCTTGATGTCGAGGATGTCGAGGACGTGGTTGAAGTCGAAGTTGTTGATGATGTAGAGGAGGTTGATGAAGTTGAGGAGGTGGTAGACGTTGAGGAGGTGGTTGAGGTAGAGGAGGTTGAAGATGTCGAGGAAGTCGAAGAAGTTGACGAAGTCGTCGAAGTTGAAGTGGTCGATGAGGTTGACGAGGTTGACGAGGTTGATGAGGTCGAGGAAGTTGACGTCGTGGTCGAGGTTGAGGACGTGGAAGAGGTAGTTGACGTGGAAGAGGTAGAGGAGGTGGAGGAGGTCGACGTCGTGCTTGAGGTTGAGGATGTAGAAGATGTGGAGGTGGTCGATGAGGTGGAGGAGGTGGAGGAGGTCGACGTCGTGCTTGAGGTTGAGGAGGTGGAAGATGTGGAGGTGGTCGATGAGGTGGAGGAGGTGGAGGAGGTGGAGGTGGTCGATGAGGTGGTGGAAGAAGAGGAGGTTGAGGATGTCGATGAGGTGGATGAGGTGGACGAAGTCGATGAGGTGGATGAGGTGGACGAAGTCGATGAAGTGGTTGATGTTGACGAAGTCGACGAAGTGGTTGATGTTGACGAAGTCGATGATGTAGTCGACGTCGATGAAGAAGAGGATGTGGAAGACGTGGAAGACGTCATCGAAGTCGAAGAAGGTCGACGAGGTCGACGAGGTCGACGAGGTCGACGAGGTGGACGAGGTCGATGAAGTCGAAGAGGTGGACGATGTCGACGAGGTCGACGAGGTGGAAGTAGTCGATGAGGTGGACGAGGTGGAAGAGGTGGAAGAGGTGGACGAGGTGGAAGCACCACAGACCTCAGAGAAGGAATATTCGCAAACAAAACGGCGCAATCGAGAGCACGGGGCATCATTCCAGCCACCAAGAGGAGAGGTACGCAGGCGCGACATGCCCATCTGCACGCAGGCTTCCGACCCATAGGTCGGCTGGTTTGAAAACCAATTAGTATAAGTTTGCGGAGTACCATCCAAGGAGGTGTATTGGGTGGAAGGAGGCGTGCGAAAAGCACCAATCCAACGCATGATCAAGTTGTTGTTATTCATGCTGAAAACGATATCGTTGACAGCTTGGTTAGTCACGTTGACGAGGTCCCCGCTGGCATCGATGCTTTGGCAAGCAGTGCGGGCATCGGCAAAGCTCAGCTCGGTTCCAAAGCCAAAGTAATCGTCTGACCAAATGTAGACGGAATCACCATAAGTGTACGTTGAATCGCAGACTGGAGATGGGGACTGGGCTGTGGTCAGCGCCACCAACAGCAGAGCTGGGAGAGGGCGCACACGAGTTATACAGGGGAAAGTGAGAACCTTGATGAGTACGAAAATGACAGGATAGCCGAATGACAGGATAACCAGAGCATGATTGATGCGAAACGACTTTAACAACACGAAATTGTGAATGCTCATGCCCAAGACCTCGCTCCGTCCATGGTGATGGGCGGACGTTTAAGACTTAACAAGTCGGGAGCAGGTTAATCGGAAATTCGGGCTCAAACAACACCAGAGCGTTAAGCAAAAGACACCAGATCGTGTTGACCAGAACGACAAGGTATGTTTGTTGCAGAGCTCAAAACGGTGTATCGAAAAAAACCATGCCCAGAGGAACGAGGGAAGAAAAAAAAAAAAAAAGAGGCCAAGGGTGCACCTCGACATTGAAAGCATGTGTGTGCGGATGAACGTGTGAAGGATCATGGACGAGGCCGAGTTGCCTTACCTGCAAAAAGCAGACTTGTTGTCAGGCTTGAAGCCATGATGCTTGGTCCAAGATACAGCGAGCTCGCCCGCTATGTGCACAAGCGACTTGATCTCCTCCTCTCGGGGGAAGACCAGGACCACTAGGGAAAAGAAGAAAAAAAAAAGGGCAGAGGCTGGGCAAGATGTAGTCCAACTTCAACCCAAAAGCACTCGATCTCAAAGTCGAGTGCTGCCGATGAACCAGACCCGATGCACCACCGTGACAGGGTTCAATCCAGGGTCAAAAACTGATGCGCGCGGGCAACAGCAGTACAACACGCACGCGGGGGGGGGGGGAGGGAGGAGGAGGGTCACGACCACAGCCAGGACCAATGCGCCCTGCACGAGATCCGTGTCTCGCGGGTTAGGGCCGGCAAACAAAGTGCTTAAGCCCAACCGTTACCCATCTGCTCCACTAACCACTAACCACAGTACCTCAGCATCAGTCATTGTTAACACAGTAACACAGCAACACAGTAGCACAGTATCACAGTAACACAGTAACTCTCTCTCTCTTACCTCTCTTTCGCTTGATCTTTCTTTCTCTCTCTCTCTCTCTCTCTCTCTCTCACCGCGTGTCTATGGGACCAAAGTGCCCTTTCTTTGTCTTTCTAACGGAAAGACACCAAAAGTCCCAACATGTGTGTAAGTGCGTGTGTGTGTGTGTGTGTGTGTGTGTGTGTGTGTGTGTGTGTGTGTGTGTGAGAAAACCAAAAAAAAGAAAGAAACAAAGGAAACAAAAGGTAAAATTTGGCATAGGGCTAGTGCGCAGCATAGCTCTATCAAAAATGTGTCAGATACTCTTTTTCTCTGGTTGGACCGCGTGGTTTTTCTCCATCTCTGATTGTGCCTTTGTTTTGCACCACACTCTCCCCCTCCATAGCCCGAGCTCTCTCACGCTTTGCCAAGCTCTCCACGTCTCTCTTCCAATATCACCCGCCCTCTCATCTCTCTCTGGATTTCTTTTGTCTTCAGCGCTTTCTTCGCGCCGCTGGTGCATGTGTCCTGCTTTTTGACCGTCTGTTCCGGGCTCATGGCGCTGCAAGGCGCCGTATCAACTTGAACCAAGCTGCTTAGAATCAGTCCTCTGAACCGCTCTGGCTCGAGATCCGTCCCAACGTCCCAACAGAACAGACCTAAAACTTTGCAAAGTCTCACCTGCCTCCCCCGTCTCTTCCCACCGTCTTCAGCGCGCGACCGATCAATTGTCCTTAGGTCGGGGTCACAAGGAGTCCTGAACTGAATCCCAAAAAAAAATTCAATTCTTTCTTTAAGCATTTTTTTCACGACAACAAACACGCTGAAATTTGATACTGAATCAGCCAACGCGGATTTTCGGTCATATTTCTATACAACTTTTTCAATAATCGATCCTTGGGGTACACACACAACACACAACACACACACACATGTCAATTTGATTGATACACACCATACACAATAGGACCAGTAAAAAGGTTTGGTGCGTTTGGTGCCGCCACTGTCTGGCTTGGTTCCATGCCGATGCAATGGCTCTCCCTAACTCTCCCTCTACTCTCTAACCTTAAGTTCTCTACTCTCTAACTTTTAAACCCTCTCGTCTGCTCGTCGGTTACATTATGACTGAGTCCGCTACAGGTGTCTTGAATCGTGCGATCACGGCAATGGCAACCATCGAAGTACGGCTCAAGGAGAAAAGCATCGAGGATGCAAAGCTCTACTGGGTGCAGATGCAGCAGAAACGACCTTGGAAGCCCGAGAACCGAATGCCTCCCATTCCCGGCATCAGCATTAGCTACCTCAGTGGCCAAGATCAGGCCGAGACCATTGTAAAAATTGGCACCGTCCAGGTGAACATCTCCGGCGAGCGCGACCACAATTGGGAGGACGCCTGGACCCGAGCATTGACGATTGGCGGCGCAGTTCACTTGCTGATTGTAGGCGACGCAGGCGGCGCAGTTCACTTGCTGATTGTAGGCGACGCAGGCGGCTTGGACGAACACCTTGTCAACGATGTGCTTATCGTTGCCGGCCAGGCCGGCCTTGCATACGTTGATGTAAAAGCTCTTATCGAGGCATGGCCAAGCGACAGCCACGCAATAGCCTTTACACAGCAGCCGAACCAGTTCATCTTGGCGCTTCCTTCCACGGCCGACGATATTAACAGTATTCTGCGTCACAGTGGCGAAACTTTTATTTGTGAAAGTCACATCTATTACAGCGGCCACGGTGACACGGATGGCTCCTGGGTACTACCTGACGGTGATCTGTACACAGGCGAGGATTTTGCATCGTGTGTGAAGACATGTCCTTCAGCGGCGATGTTCGGATGAATCTCCACCTCAACTGCTGCTTTGCCGCACGCTTTGTGGGGCTTGCCTTTTCCCACCAGACCACTCAGGCTGAGGATGCGCTGTCCCCGGCGCGTGAGGTCGACGCAAACCCGGCGCTTGGTCGCCTCGCCGCTTTTTTATCTATTACTCAAGAAATGCCTCTTGAAGAAGTCAAAGATAAGATGGAGAGCTGTCTGTCTGACCCGAGCAATTCGTTCAACAGTGCTTTGACAAAAAGCCTTGTGCAACTCATCCAAACAGAACATCGCGCGTTTCCTGATTTGAAGGTGGAGACGCAGGTTGGCACTGCAATGCTGCACATGGTGCCGTACTCATTCGGCTGGCTGGATGCCTCCGGGGCCTTTTTTGACCTCTACAACCTTCAAGACAAAGTTGCCAGTATCAAGCCCAATGCTGCTTTCTTGCAGCGAGGTAAAACGCCAACCGCCATGACTCGCGAAGCGGTCGAGAGCAAGCAACTGCACAAGGCCAAAGCACTGGAGATTTACATCTTTGGCGCTGGTCGTGGTGAAAGCTCTTTCGTGCGTTTTCCCGGCTGTAACCTCCTCATTGACGGCGGTATTCACAAGAACCCACTGCCCTGCTTTTGGCAACTCGTGCGGCGCCTACCATCTGATGAGCAATTGGATCTCGTTGTATGTACCCATTACGACAACGACCACCTGAACGGCCTGCAGCGGCTGCTGGACGAGTGCAAGAAGAACAAGGACCTGATTGGCATTGGTCATTTGTACACCATGAAGCCTCCAACAAAAAGTAAAAGTAAAAAAGTTGGTCGATCGAAGTCAACTGGCTCCAAGCTCTGGGTCAGTGCTGTCCATCTTCTCGGTGAGGACAAAGTGCATAATCTTTGCATTGATCGTAAGGTCTTCTACCCACCCGAACCCGCAGACTCCAAGCTCAAGCTGGAGGTACAAATGCTCAGCCCACCCGACGAAGCAACCCTTACGAAGGCGACTGAGCTCATGGATGCCGTCGCACGCTCTGCCAGCCCCCCCAACAAGGCCTCTGCCTCACTGTTGGTCACGGCAACGTGGGGCGATGTGAAACGTCGGGCACTCTTCACTGGTGACGCGCCGAGCCCTTCCGTGGTGGCTGGCCTTAGAGAGGCGACGAATATTCAAAAGGACAAGATCCCACTGGTTTACGCCGATGCCCCACACCACGGGTCGATGCTCGAGCAGCCGAATGCATTATTTGAGGCCATCGATCCAGAAGTTTTTGCAGTCAGTACAGACGGCACCGGCGGACACGGTCATCCCGACCAGACTTTCCTGGACGAGATGAGCGGGATTAAAGAGAAGGCGTGCTGGTTTAACTACACATCTCATGCCCTTCCGGGAACACGCCGTGCCGGAACCTCAGGCACGCGCCAGAACGCAGTGCAGTCCACCTTCCCCAATGCAAACTACATTGACAATCAGGCCAGGGAGATTGCCACAGCGGCCTTGCGTGTCATCATTACAAAGGACTTGAACGTATCCCATAGAGTCAACGCGGATGGTACCGAGTAGCAAGATCAACTTTAAGAAAAACTCAGACTTCTCTCTCCTCTCTCTCTCTCAAACTCTCTCAAACTCTCAAACTCTCAAAGAAACTCTCTCAAACTCTCTCTCTCTTCTTGTCTTGAAAAAAACACTGGATCCTCAATGTCACTGTCAATTTTGACAACAAAAATACTAAAGAAACACGCTGGGCAACAGCTGCACTGTGCCAGACCCATGATCTCACAGGCAGGGTTGATTATGGAGCAATCGATCAGAGTAATACTCCAACGACAAGAACGAGCACGCAAAGTCGGACACTCGTGTTGCCTCTAGGAGGTCCAACAACACAGATACACTCAACACGCACGCGTCAACCCAATGTCTGGAAGCAGAGGGCGCAAGTCGGCCACATTCCAAAGGCCGCTCCGTGTTAGAGCAACAACGGTGGAAAAGAGACCAGATTAAAAACCATCAGAAACAGCAAAAGCAAGAACGCCCAAGTTTAGGCGCTGGTGCTCAGACCACCTGGCGCCCGACCCAAATCTTGCTTGAGCGACAGATCCTTCAAATCAAACCCCAGTTCCTCGATGGGCAACCCAGCCTCATTGAGCTTGACCTTGACGGCCGACACTGTCTCATTGTGCATCTTGGCGACCCGCGCCAGCTCAAACTGCAACGACTTGATCATGGCGTTCTTCGACTCCATGATGTCCTAATGATTGAGTCACATCAACATTTGTAAGCCCTTGCTTGACCATGCACAAGGCACAAGCCCATGCAAAACATCAAAACTTTGAGGAAGCATAAGCCCAGGCCAAAGCCGAAGGACAAGAGACAAACCTCCAGTCGCTGAGTTACCACGGCTACAGCTGTGGGATCGAGGCTGCTTGATGCCAACACCTCGTTAAGTTGTGCCTCCTGCTCACCCGCATGCATTCAGCCACAAAGATTGAGAACCGAAGCGGGATGACAACGCAAAAGCCCCATTCAACGAGCGCGTGGCACATGATCCGCACCTTGGTCTCCAATTCGGCATGAAGAGTCTCCAACTTCTTCTCCAGGAGCAGATTCTTGAAGCCAGTTTTCTGCTGCACTTCGTAGATGGAGCGCACAAAGCGATCGTACAGATCGTCGCGTTCCGTCTCGACCGTCTGAAAGCGCTGGCGCAGCACCTCGTTCTCCCAAGAAAGCTGCTTCAGCTCATCCTCCTTGAGCTTGAGCTGCACCTTGGCAGAGCGCAAGGCTTCGCGGTCGTGTTCGAGCTTCTCGAGTGACTTGGTAAGCTCGACCACTCGCGCCTCGGCTGCCTTCAATGGCTCAATCAAGCGACGATTCTCTGACACCAGCTCTGCCATGAGCTTTTCCGTGCGCTGCTCCTTGGTGCGCATACCCTCAACCTGATTTGCACAGATTCAAGGTGAGAAAAGGCGACGATGCGTGCATGATTTGTGCAACCTGATCGCGCGTACAGCTACGACATGATAGCTAGACTGTATTTGTTGGACCGCAGAGGTCAACGCGCGTGAATGCCGGGCAACAAACCTGCTCCTTAAGAGAATTGATGAGGGCGAGGTTATTGAGGGTAATATCATTGTAGTAATTTTTAATGTCACCAAAGGCTTGCTCATGTTGGCGCATGAGTGCAGTAATCTGCAGATTCTTGCGCTCCTCAATCTCGTGCACCTCCACACGGCGCTGCAGGTCGAGGTCACGGCGCAAATGATCTAGCTGCTGCTCGTATTTGCGCCGGATGTCCTGTGCTTGCTGTCGCATCTGATCATAGAGCTGGGTTTTATCACGATCATGGTCCAATCGTTGATGTTGTGATGAACGGTGCTGATTGATCTGCAGCTCCTTCAGCTCCACCTAAGATTAGGCACCAAAGCGCACACACAGACTTGGTCAGATTTCATCAGCCGTTAACAGTCCCGACTCTCACAGCATGCACTGCTCGTCCTCTGCCCCATTCTCTGCCCAAACTGTATGGGAGAGCAGCAGCAGCAATAACGATAAAAAAAAAAAAACAGCAGCACGTCCAAACCAGAAGGGAGGCGAGAAACAGGAACGTTGGGGAACAGGCAAATCAAAAGTGAGAGCTGATATGAAATGTTCGAATAACTCACGCGCAAAGAACGCTTTTCATTGCGCAGGCCGGCTGCTTCCTCCCGCAACTCGTCTTGCACCAGCTTCTTGGCGAGCGCAGCTGGCAGGTGGGAGACAGGCGAGATGAGGTCACGGCACTGCAAGAAAAGAAAAAAAAAAAGCAGACAAGGGCTGCAAACGCGTTGAGCAGGACGGACCTTCTGTCCGTAGCTCTGCGATTTGGTTCTGGTGCTCATATAACAGATGCTTCACCTTTTGCTTGTAGACCTGTAGGTGTGTCAATCGCGAAAGGTCATGTCAATGGCGGCATCTCAGAAAATGTGGGAAAAGGCGGGTGGGTGAATTACCTTGATCTCCACGGCATGCTTTTCCTCGGCTTCCTCAAGCTCACGATCCTTGTTCCGCATTTCTGCGCGGGCTTCGGCCAATTGCTTCTTGGTAATTTCCCAGAACGTGTTGATCTTGTCGCGTTCGAGCTGAAAATAGTTGCGCTCCTCGCGCTCCTTATTCACCTCTTCGCGTAGTCGAATGATGGTGGCTTGCATCTACACCAAACGAAATGAACCCAAATGGAAGCCATTGCAGAGCCCAAGAATCATTGATTCTCAGTGAGCCTGAGCTGGTCATGCAAATCCAACCCACTTGCGGACGAGCAAGCATGTACACTGGCCCTGTCCAGCGCCAAGCCCGCTAAAGGCTCTTTGAGCTGGTGACCGCGCATGTTGCGGGTCCCAGCGCCAGCATCTCGATGAAGGTATGAGTTGGTTGCGAGCTGGGCATGCTCACCTCGTCCGGGGAGAGCCCTTGGAGATCATCTTGATCCCCAGCGCCCGCAGCATCATTGGCGGCAGGCTGCTTGGCCTTGCCTGACTTCTTCTTCTTGGCCTAAACAAGAGGCGCCGGGGCAATGAGCCTTGATCCAGCGCAAATGCGAGACAAGCAGCCAATCATGCAGCCATGACCATGCAGGGGTCTGTTATTACAAATGACCAGTTGGCACGACCAAAAGACATGGGGCTCGAACCCCCGGCGGCAGCCCAAGCACGCGCTGACAAGCACAACGGCGACACCAACAAGGCCACTCGAAAAAAAAGAAAGAAAAGCGGGAAACAACTGCATTCAACCAAGCGGCTCCCGGACGCCGGGCGGTGAAGCCAGACCAGAGAGCGTATTCCCTCTAAGCCAGCCCTCGTCGCCGGCAGCAGCAGCAGCGCTCACCATCGCGGCGTTCGCGTCGTCGTCGCTCGGCCTCAGCGTCGTCGCCAAGGAAAAACTACAGGTGGTAGCAGATGGAATAAAACTGTTCGCAACGAATGTTCTTAACGACTTGCGTCGAGAATCGTTCAAATTTGCGCGGTCTGTCCTCATTCTCGATCAATTGGTAAACATGAATGCTTTCAGCCACTTCTTTTCCAGTACAATTAATACAATTCCATGTCGCTAGTCGCTTCTTCTTTTGGGTGAATTTCAAATTTTTGCACGTTGTGTCTCTTTCTCAAAATAAATCTCTCTCTCTCTGTCTCTCTCTCTGTCTGTCTCTCTGTCTCTCTCTCTGTCTGTCTCTCTGTCTCTCTCTCTGTCTGTCTGTCTCTCTCTCTCTCTCTCTCTCTCTCTCTCTCTCTCTCTCTCTCTCTCTCTCTCTCTCTCTCTCAAAATTTGATTGATTGCAATTTTTTTTTTTTTTTTTTTGTCAGTGTGAACGGATTGTGGCGGTGACGGCTCAACTCGAGGTACTGTGGGGGGATCTCATCTCTCGCTCAGAGCAGGGCGTAGGCATGGGGGTGAAGTGGTATTTTCACATGGTTGTGAACAGCAAGCGGACCTGGTTGCCTTTTTTTTTTTTTTTGATGTGACCGGTGACTCACGTGTGACATGGTGGCACGTAGACTCACGACCCTGCATCATGAACCCCGAATTCGACAACATTGGCAAGTCCTTTGTCGCCCACTACTACCAACAGTTCAAGGAGAACCGCCCCAACCTGGTCTCACTCTATCAGGATGACTCGCTCATGTCCTTTGAGGGTTCCCAGGCCCAGGGCCTTCAGGGCATTCACGAAAAGCTCAAGGTTGGTTCGCCAGCCAATCGATCAAGCGCCACCCGGACCATGCCTTGCTTTTGCTTTTTTCTTTCTGGGATGCAATACTACAAAAAAAAAAGGAAACCCCCATGCCTGTGTCTCTTGCCACTCGTGTGCGGCCAGGATGATCGGGCATATGGCGGCATTTGCCTCGCGCCCGTGTTTCGACCTGTGGCTGGCATCTGTGCTTTTGCGACCGCGCCTGCCCACTCATGCCTTTTTTTTTTTTTCTGCTCCTTATTATCAACAGAGCCTCTCCTTTGGCACAGTTGAGTTCAGCTTCACAGAGATTGATTGCCAACCTCGCGCTGATGGCGGCATTGTTGTTGGTGTCCTGGGCCAAATCCAGGTCAGTGTCGATTACAGTAGGAAATCCAGGCAGTGTCGGCTTCTGCACCAACTTTGACTCACGCCACGCTGAAACAATGGGTATATGCTACAACAATAGACCGATGAAGACCCTGTCAAGGGCTTCTCCCAGTGCTTCGTTCTGGCTCCTACAGCCTCGGGATCATTCTACGTCCAAAACGACATTTTCCGTCTGCACTTGCACCACTTTTAAGCAACAAACCTGCGCTTCATCGCATCTACCTCAACCTCTGATGACTCCCATTGAGAAGATGGAAGGAAACATCCCCACAAAGCCAAAATGTCTGTTTACCCGCTTTCCTCAGACTCTTTTCTCGACATCAAGACGACTTGCTCCTCCATCATCAGCTTCGTTGTGGGCAGCCGAGCTGCCACGCCAGCCACGCAAGTCGCCTTAATGTGCTGCCCTGCCATTGGTTTACCGCTTCGCTTTCGCCCCCACCCCACCTCCTCTTGTGTTGGCAGCAACATGCACAATCGTACAGCAAACAGATTCAGATTCGGCTGGACTTGTGAATAAATGCATCATGATGGGATGGGATTGGACCAAGCCTTCATGTCATCAATTTGGAAACAATGCTGCAGCAGAGGCAGGCACTTCCGTTCTGACTGTTTGCTGTTTTGTTGGGAATGCCATTCACCGGAAGGAGATTTAGGGATCAAGCACATCATTTGAACAGGTACGTTGATAGACAGACACAAGTGACACGACTAGAAACACGGACACAGATACCCAATGTACAAGCAACCGCTTCCCCTCCACACCCACGGTCAAATGGGCGCGAAGCAGATTATTGATCATCCTCGAAAAGCCAAGAGATCGATTTTGTAGCGATTTTGTAGCGGGCTTTTGCAGTAAACCAAGAGAGTGGTGTAAGGTGCATGGCTTAGCCAATCGAGAGGGTCGATGTTGGTGCAGCATTGAGGCAGAGAGACACCATGTCAATGGCGTAGCAGGCCCCTTGGCCGGTGAAGCTAAAGCCGAAGCGCACGGGCTCACCATTCATGCTAGCGGGGGGGATAAAGTCAAGGTAAAACTGATCAAAGCTGTCGACCGGGATGCTGCCGCTGGGGATCTCGGCTGAGGCAGCCAAGGTGTTGTTATCAAAGCGGAAGTCAAGAGACACAGAGCAGTTGTACTCCTGGAAGCGCGAAGCTCCAACATAAGCGCTGAGGGTGTATTCCATCGTTGAATCGTAGGTAATGGAATCGTCTTGCCAGACTCCGTACGCGGCGTCTTGGACATCAAACACGTACAAGTACTGGCTGCCAAACGGCGTGGTCTCGGGACCCAGCTCTGAGCCCTCTTCAAGGATGCGAACCGACGCAGAATCGGTGGAAAAGTTCCAACCAGCAGTCATCAAGGGGTAAACTGCCTCATAGGTCACATCATAGTCCTCAAAGCTGGGATCAACGACGCGAGCGCAGTTGGAGTCATCAAGCGCGTTGGTCGTGGTTGGAATGGACGTGGTGGCATCACCATAGACGCAGACGGCAACATTGTCCACACCCGGTGAGAGACCGGCACCCAAGAAGGAGATGGCAATAGTGATATCAGTACCAATGTAACTGGCCGAGGCAGGCGTCTTGAAGTACAGGGTGACGTGCTCGCCGGTGACAGGGATGCCCTCACGCGACCAAGAGTGCACTGCAATAGTGACGTTGTTGGCATCACGGAACTCGAGCGAAACGATGCTGCTGCAAGACACGCATGATGTGCGGTACAAGTCTGCCTCGAGCTTGTAGAGAGTATTGGCGGCATACTGATCGGCGAGCACCTGCTGGACACCATTGCCGTCGTTGACTGATTCGAACAAAACCAGATACTGGGTGGGGGTACCAGTGGGAGCGTTGGAGTAGCTCTCATCCGCAATAAAGAATGGCAAGCTGTTATTGAAGTTCCAAACTCCGGGCACAAATTCAGTCTCGCCACCAACTACAGTCGTCGCCTCGAAATCATTGTCACTGACGCTGATCGGTGAGCAGTACCTGGACAAGGCGAAAGAAAGGAAGTAAGAGTCGTGGCGTTGTGATTGTCAGCTGAAAACCACCAAGCACAAGCACAATTTATGTCAAGAACATACCCAGTAAGAGTGGTGGTGCTGGTCGTGGTGGTGCTGGTCGTGCTAGTTGTGGTTGTGGTGAAAAAGCCTGGCTGGTTATCGCGGCAGACTCGGACGTTGTCGAGCGCTGGAGAAGGTCCCGTACCAGTCAGTGTCACACCAATGCGAACACGCTGCAGCAAGTAGGCCGCGTTGGAAGGAACCGTAAACTCCAATGAGTACTCGGTGAAGGTAGTCGTCAAAATGTCGGTCAGCGCGTTGGAAGCCAACACATTGTCGTCTTGATCGCGGAACTCCAGGGTCGGGTTGCTGTTGTACGTCACGTTGTCAGAGCCAGCGATGGACACGTAGAAGGTGATGGTTTCATCGGGGCGGTAGATGATGTCCAGATCCTGCCAGATGCCTGCAGTCGAGCTGGCAGAGCGGAAGGCATACGCGTACTGGTCGCCATAGGGAGTCGAAGCGGGACCCACGGCACCAGGTGCCAGGACGACGCGGAAGGATGACTGGCTATCCTGTGTCCAAGATGAAGACGACAGAAGGACCTCGCCACTCTCCACATAAACATCCTCAAAGCTGTGGTCGCCGACAGCGACGCACTCGTCACCAGCGGTCGTTGTGGCCGCCGAAGTCGTGCTTGGGGGTGCGGTGGTCGTGGTTACGAAGCTGTCAGTGCTCAGACAGATGAAACCAACAGCGGGGCTGAAGCCCGACCCACCAAAGCGAATACCAACACGCACATCCTCACCAATGAGGCAGTTATCGGGACGGCAGGGGAACTCCAGACTGACGCTCATGACTTCGTTGCTGGTGGTGAAAGCTGAGTAGGGAATCGTCTTGGAAGCCACAACTGTGTTGTCACCGGTGCGAAGCTCGATGGATACCAAGCTGGGCTGCTTGTCAAAGGTGCCAACGCCAACGATAGCGGAAACTTGGTAAAGAGTGTAGGCTTCATACGACAAAGGAGAATCTTGCCAGATGCCCTCACCCGTGGTGTTGCTCTCAAGAGTATACACAAACTGTGAGCCATTGACGTTTGTGGTGGAGAAGTAGTCACTAGGAGTTTCCGTCGTGCCAATCTTGATGTTTGAGTCCACCGTCCAGAATGTGGGGCAGGTAAAGTCACCATCAGATGAAACGTAATCATACTCAAAGCTGCTATCATTCAAGTACTGGCACACTTCCAGGAGAGCGGTGCTGGTCGAAGACGTGGAAGAAGTCGATGATGTTGAGGATGTCGAGGATGTTGTGGAGGTAGAGGAGGTGGACGAGGTCGATGAGGTTGACGAAGTTGAAGACGTGGATGAGGTGGATGAGGTGGACGACGTGGACGAGGTGGAACTGGTCGATGAGGTTGAAGAAGTAGAGGTGGTCGATGAGGTTGACGAAGTTGACGACGTCGATGAGGTGGAAGTAGTGGACGACGTCGATGAGGTTGAGGTGGTGGACGAGGTCGATGAGGTTGATGAAGTGGACGACGTGGATGAGGTCGATGAAGTTGATGAGGTCGATGAGGTGGAAGTGGTGGACGAGGTCGATGAGGTTGATGAAGTTGACGACGTGGATGAGGTTGAGGTGGTGGACGAGGTCGATGAGGTGGAAGTGGTGGACGAGGTCGATGAGGTGGAAGTGGTGGACGAGGTCGATGAGGTTGATGAGGTGGACGAAGTCGACGACGTCGATGAAGTTGACGATGTCGATGAGGTTGAGGTGGTGGACGACGTGGAGGTTGTCGATGAGGTGGACGAGGTAGACGAAGTCGACGACGTCGATGAAGTTGACGACGTCGATGAGGTGGAAGTGGTGGACGACGTGGAGGTTGTCGATGAGGTAGACGAGGTAGACGAAGTCGACGACGTCGATGAGGTGGAAGTGGTCGACGAGGTGGACGACGTGGAAGTGGTCGACGAGGTGGACGACGTGGAAGTGGTCGACGAGGTGGACGACGTGGAAGTGGTCGACGAGGTGGACGACGTGGACGATGTGGACGACGTGGACGACGTCGACGACGTGGACGAAGTCGACGAGGTGGACGAGGTGGAGGTCGTCGACGAGGTGGACGAGGTGGAGGTCGTCGACGAGGTGGACGAGGTGGACGAGGTGGTAGAAGTTGACGAAGTAGAGGAGGTGGAGGAGGTGGAGAAGGAGCAAACTTCCTCAATGGGTTGCTCGCAAACAAATGCACGATCATTGCTGCACACAGCATCATTCCAGCTGCCTTCAAAGCTGGGGTTGGGATGGCCCATTTGCAAGCACTGCTCGGTGGCTCCATTGTTGGGCTCGTTGGCATTCCAAGGCGTGTATGTTACAAGAGTACCGTCATTCCAGTAAAAAGGACCGCCAGTGGTGTTACGCTCGCCACCCAGCCAGGTCAGAACACCAGGCATCAAGTTGTATACAAACATATTCTCGGTTTCATCAGCGATGCGGACAAGCCGGGTGTTCGGAGAGATCGTCTGGCAGTAGGCATCGGCTTGAGCATGCGAAGCGATCAAGCTACCAAAGCTCTCGATCGATGAGTAGTACACCGAGTTGTTGAGCCAGTTATAACCCGGGCAGATATCCTCCGTGGTGCTGGGAGGGATCGTGGTGGTGGCTGGGATGGTGGTAGTCGATGGACCGGTTGTGGTGGTTGTGGTCGATGGGCAGACTTCCTCAATGCTGCGTTCGCAGACATACTCGCGGGCGAAGCTGCAACGAGCATCATTCCAGCTGCCAGGGAAACTTGGCTTAGGATGGCCCATTTGCAAGCAGTCTTGGAGTGCACCGTTATTGGGCTCGTTGGCGTTCCAGGCGGTGAAAGAAAGGGTGGTACCATCCGTCCAGTAGAAAGTGCCACCAGTCACGTTTCGGCTCGCACCAAGCCAAAGCCTGGTATCTGGAAGGAGAGAATAGACATAGTTGTTCTCAGCCATGTTTGTGACCTGAGCAAGATGGGTGGTTGGAGAAATGGTCTGGCAGGCAGCCGAGGCGGAGGCCCAATTGAGGGGGCCAGTCGTAAAGTCGGCAACCGATGTGTAGTAGATGCTGCCGTTGTAGATATTGAGCTCCTCGCAAGGATTGGGAGTCGTTGTGGGGACTGTGGTGGTAGGGGCGTTGGTACTGCTGCTTCCGCCACATGAATCGTCGAGTTTTTGCTCACAGACAAAAAAACGGAGGTTAGAGCAAGGAGCATCATTCCAGGCAGCAGGTGTTGTCGAAGCTGGGTGACCAATCTGTACACAGTTTTCGTTGCTACCAGCTGAGTTGGGCTCACCCTTCTTCCACAAGCAATTTACGCCAGGTGTGCAGCCGGCGTAATCGCCCAGCAGACCGGTGATGGAAACGCCATCGATGCTCTGAAAGGTGTTTGTCGACAGATTGCGCACATGACCAATCCAGCGCATGCTCTCCTGAACAGGCTCTAGGTTCCACAGGAAGTCATTCTCGGCCTTGCTGTCCACAATAGCCAAATCCGCACCGCTGCCGATTCCCTGGCAGAGCGTGCGTGCCTGTGCGTACGTGTATGTGCTGGTCGCGCTGAAAAAGGTCCGGGAGTAGTAATATTCGCTGTCACCAAACTTGACGCCACCGTTACACTGAGCGGAGACTGGGGTACCAAGCTGCAATGTCAGGAGGGCGATGGCCGCCACGACAGCAAAGCTAGAGGGCCCGGTGCGCAGCATCCTGTATCATGTCCAAAAAAGGTGCCGGTGAGAGGAAGCTGCGCCTGTACGACCGTGCATTTTTAATTAAACACGCCCTTCCCCCATGGATAGACAGCGATTGCCAGCTTGGTCGATTTTATCGTACCTGTGCCGTGCCACTAAACCTATTCCGGTCTTGAGGCCTCTCAAATTACGTCCTGCTACAGAAAGAGGGAAAGAGGAAAGATGGAACGCATAAATCAGGCGATGTGCATTTAACAACCCCCACCCAAAAAAAAAAGCAACGTTGACGGGCAGGCCACGAAGAGCAACAAAGCAACAGGGTTGCTGTTTGACCTGAAAAAAGAGGTTACTAAGGATCCTTGGCTACTCTGGGGACCTCGAACGTGTTTGCCAAAGCTCACCTTGTATTCAAGAGGCAGTCTCTGCCAACGCAGGCGTTGACCCGATCAGCAGGATCAGGTCTACCCAAACAGTCTTGTTGCTTGGCCTGATGCGCAAAGGACATGGGCATGCACGATGAGTCAAACATAAAAATGGCAGTTCAAAACGATGGATGAGGGGGAGGGGAGGCTGGCAGATTGTGCGCCGAGGTGCGCAGGGCATCCAGAGAAGAAGAGCCGACAGCGGCACACGCACGAGGAGTATGATTCAAAGAAGAAGATCAAAAGTGCGCAGCAGATCGACCAGAGGCGAAAGGACGACCGGCAACTCATGACAGAAACAGAAAACGGCAAGGTCACAGGGAGCGCGCGCGGGAAAGAGAATCGAATGCAATCACAACGGCGAGATCCAAAAGGGCAGTGGGTTGATTGATCCCAAGAAACCATGTGCAGCTCTTGTCTAAGCGATCAATCTGAATTCAAAGCACCGAGCAGCACTGCCGTTTCGCACGGAACAAGCCCGCCAAGTCACAACCATCGTCTTGTGCCAAGAACGCTTTATACCTTGAATCAAGCGGCTGCCGTAATTGCCCTGAGCCGCAACGAAGAATGCAGAGATGGACAGCCACTGACACACACAAAGCGAGATCAGTGAGACAAAGCCCAACATGTGTGTGTGTGTGTGTGTGTGTACGCTCGTGCTCACTGGTTGTGTGAGTAGTGTGTGGAAACAAAGCACAAAGCGCGGAAAGCAAAGTTCTGTTTGTTACTTTGTTTGCGAACAAAGGGGTTGTGTGGAATAGGGGGTCTTCTTCCCAACACGCACGCACGCGCTGGTCATGTGCAAAAGGCCTAAGGTAAAGGGTGCAACGGCAGACAATCAGCGAGCAGCGCGTAATTGTTGAAAAAGTTTTCAATTGTTTTTGACAGAAAAGCTTGGTGAAAGTAATTGGCTGTGAATTTCAAGCGTGGACATCAGCCGGTCTCGATTCAACTGTTGTTCTCCCTTGCTGTTCTTGCTCACATGACGATGACGACGAAGCAAGAAGTGTGGAGCCTTTCACAGTTGCAAGAACGTTTTACCGGTGAATAGAGAGAGGCATGGAGATTCGGCTGCCCCCTCTCTGCTGTTGGCTTGGAAACCGGGTTGCGCCAAAAAAGCTTCACACACACACACACACACACACACACAAACGCATGTCAGTGAGTTGCCGATGTACGGCACAATGGAAGGGGCGCCCGACAGGCCCATGGGCAAGGCTGGCCCCAACTTTCTTGATTCTCAGCCAAAAAATGGAATAATAGACGGCCTTTTGATTATGTCGGCATTGTTCTTCGGATCAAGTCGAGGCCAGCGAGCGAGCGACGCCACGCGTCCTCATGTACCAGATGTGTCTATGAGCCAGCCATGCAGCCCATACGCACAAGGCGTGCCGTCCTCGCGCACCACGAATCCCATAAGATTGCCACTACCCCATACACACACACACACACACACACACACACACACACACACACACACAAGTCTAATCCGCCCAAATGTTGTCGCAGCAACCGAGTTGAACCCTATTCCATTTCCAAGGTGTAGTTTAAATCTTATACCCGCCAGTCGGAATGTCAGACGAATCGTATGTTCAAGTCTGATGAATATCACGCTTTCGTGTACGGCCGTGTTTGAGTTTGGATTTTTCTGTGTGTGTGTGTGAGCGGGTTTTAAAAAGGGCAGCCAGGACGGGCTTTGCCTCGGGATCTGCTGTCGCTTGTGGTCTTAACTTGAGATAGCAGTGATTGTTCATTTTGGCTGATGGTATTGATCTTTGCTTCAACTCGCAGCGGTTCCAAGGACGGGAAGGTGCTCAGGCACACCCCCCCCCACCCCGTCGCCTTCTGACCAGCGGAGCTCTCTGGCTGTCGCGGCGCCGGTGATGCAGGCTGGACCATAACAGTGCGTCATGGAGAACCTTTCCGCTTTATTGCAAGAGGCCGTGTCCACCATCTCGGTGCTGGCCATTGTGTTTGGTGGCGTGGTTCCCTTTGTTCCTCAATTTTTCAAGATCCGCAAGACCCGCAACTGCGATGGCTTCTCCACCTACGTGATCCTGGTCTTGATGCTCGCCTACATTCTTCGCATCCTCTTTTGGTATGCTGCGTGAGGTGCCTGGCATTTGAAAGGAAGCATGAATGGACAGAACAGAAAGAAAGACCCCGCGTGCTCTTGTAGAAAAGGCCACAATCGGCTCGAACACAAGCCTCATGGGTCATCTGCCTTGTAGGATTGGACACCCGTTTGAGATGCCCATCTTGCTCCAGTGCTTTTTTATGCTGGCATCACTTCTGGCGCTGCAATACGTTTGTGTCGATGCCATTGCCTTTGCGGCTCCACTTCCAATTCGTCTATGTACGTGTTGATCGGTCCGCCAAACGCGCTTGACCAAGAAGTCTTATCCGTGAAACTCTTGCATCGTGCTCATGGTTGCACCCATGATTGATTGCTCTTCTTGGATCGCCGACAGCGGCGATGAAGTGGCGCGAGGTGTGGCGCTGGACCGTCTTCAGTGACTATGTCATTTTTCTCTGTGCCTTTGTCGTGGGCTATGCCGTCCTCATGCAGGTGCTCAGCTTCAGCCCCTTTGTCGTTGAAGCCACTGGCTTGTTGAGCGTGCTCCTCGAAGCCATGCTCGGTGTGCCCCAGCTGCTAGAGAACTGGCGCAATCGCTCGGTCCAAGGCATGAGGTGCGATCGATTCCACCATGTGTCAAAGGTCCATGGTTTTCTCCCTTCCACCTACACTTCGTTTCAAACAGACAAACACTCATGAGCGGCCTTGCTTTTTGTAATTGGGGCTAGCGTGACCATGGTCGTTTGCTGGCTATCCGGCGACATCTTCAAGACAGTTTACTACATTGTGCGCGAAGCGCCCATTCAGGTGAGTCCGACTCGATTCAAATGCAGCTCACGTGGAACGGATGCGTCTCTAAAACGAATGGGAGTGAGGAGGCGGCACGGTTGGCCTGTCTTGTTCAGGCATGCGCGGCTCCGTAACGATGACACATGGCGTGCGGTGTTTTGGTTTTTTTTTTCTCGAATTTGTAGTTTCCGCTGTGCGGATCAATGCAGATTGTGATCGACATTGCACTTTTGCTCCAAGTCGGATGGTATTCCTGCTGGCGGGTGGAAAAGACTCGTCATCACAAGGTGCCGCGAACCTTTTCGCCTTTGACGGTCAAGGTAGAACCGTGAGCTGAAACGCGTTCGAAGTCAATAGGCGGCTCCTCCCCTCGCGCGACCCGTCACCTGGTCTTGTTTTGTTTTTCTACTTCTTTTTTGAAGCTTGTCTTCTTGTGCTTTTGTCGGTGACAGTGAGGCTGGCTCGGTTGGCATCGTCCTGTTTGGGGAGAATTCGGGTGAGCGTAGAGCTTCCGAGTGCCCATGCATGTTGTTTGTTGTGGCCTGATATTTGAGCATGTGTGACCGTGTTGATAAACCAAAAGTGTATTTGAATGCGAGTGTGTGCGTGCGCGCGCGCGTGCGTGCATGGTTCTGTCGATCGTGCAGGACTTGGAATGGTTTGCCTGGCTTCTTGCGCCTCCTAGGGCCGCAATGTCTTGACCAGAAATGGCAATCGCAGTTTGCACAGTACATGCCCGTTGACCATGACCGCTCGACCAAGAACATGTCTTTCATGCTATTGAATTTGAAGAGCAGACCACTGTCCAGAGGAGTCCCAGCGCAACTGAAACTCAAAGCCGAGGAGAGACAGGATGACCCATGCTTGAAACAGACCCATGCTTGGAACAGAGGGGGGGGGGGCGGGGGTGTCAAAGTGACAGGAAAAAAAAACGCCAAACGAGCACACCGTGCCGACAGAATGACAACGGAAGAGGTCAAGGAAGCACCAAGATACACATCACATCGAGCACAGGTAGAGTCGCCTAGTTGAAGAGAGAAGGGTACTTGCGCTGTGGCACGCCACGACGCTCTGCTTGCACGTTCTGCAGGTGGAGGCAAGTGAGGCACGGGCACAATGGGTGAGAGCGGTGGCAACTTGATCATGCCGATGCAACGAGAGCGGAAGAGTCGGTGCTTACAAACTCGCGGACAGCGGCCTCATACATGACCACGGGGACAACGACGCCAAAGATGACAAGCTGACGCAGGGTCTTGGGGGTCACACGGAAATGCTGGACCGTCGTCTCACGCATGGTTGCCCAGCGCTCAATAGCGGGATCTTGACGCAGACCGCCCATGTTGGCTCGTTTTGCGTGTTGAAGCAAGGTTCAGATCCGATATTTGCCGCCTGTTAACAGAGTGCACCAAAGTGACGGACAATGAGTTGGACACGAGACGCATATCCGTTGACCGCCAACGCGATGACACAGAGACACTGCCAAAAAAAAAAAACAAGCGAGCCACCGGGCTACAGCTCAAAAAGTGTCCGTGTATGCCTTCAGAGGCCCGGTCTTGGCCATCCTCCCTGTCTATCACACCCTTTTCCTTCCCCTTTATCGTGCCACCCAGCTCAAAGAGTCTGTTCCCTTTGATATCCATGTCCGAGCCGGCGCGCTGCCATATCGGTGTTTGCGCGCCGTGCTGCTGCTTTTACCTCTTTGAGTGCAGCTTGTTCACAACAAATGTTGTCAATGTTGGCTCTTCAGCCATCTGCTTCCAGGCCAAAAATTAGAAACGTCTGACAAATAGTATTGTCAGACGTTTCTTTCGACACGAAAATCATCTGATAACCTTGTTGCGCAATCTCTCGCTCTCGCTGTCTCTCTCTCGACACACACACACACATGAGATGCGACACTTGCCTTGAGACATCATATTCACAAAGTGCACCCTTGATACACTTTTATATCCTGTAAGTGTAATTTTTGATACACTTTATGTGGCGGTGTCGCCTTTGCTGACAAGCAGCGTGGATAAGGGTCGGTTGCTCTCTCTTATCTTCTCTCTTGCCTCTTATAACTTCCTCACCTTGGCCCTCGCTCTCTCCAATTTTCTTGTTGAGATACACACTCTCTCAATGCACTTGAAAATCAACGTATAACTGTCTCAGATTCACTCACAATTCACCTTCTCCTCTGGAAATAACTCTTCTCCTCCCACCATCTCTCACTCTCACACCCAAATCCCTCTCTGTCTCTTCAAACGAGCAGTGTTGCCAGTGACTGCCGTTTGCCGTTTTTCCGGTGGTGCTGGTGCTGGTGCGTGAAGGAGCCTGCCGCACTCAACATCAGTCTCGTGGTCCGTCTCGACGTCTTCGGCTTTGAGATTTGAGGTAAGGTAGAAGAAGACTCGGTGCTGGGACTCGACCTCCAAATGCCTGCCTGGTATTGGATCAAATCAAGAACAACAACTTCCATCGGATCGCTTCAACTGCCTGACTTTTTTTTTTTTTTTTTTTTTTTTTTTTTTTTTTTTGCGCTCACCTCTCCGTCTCTGCTTCGCGGGTGGTAATAGGCACTGCCCGAGCTCTTGGTGTGTGTGTGTGCTCGTGTGGCTGATGCTGATACCCTATCGCCGTGGTCATTCATTCGAGCCGTATTGCAGGGTTGGGAGACCATCACCCCACGGAGCTTTGCTCGTGTGCCTCTAAAACGGACATTTGTCAACGGTGGTTCAGCGTGCCTTGACCAATCACCGTACGTGAGGTCGCGCGCGTGTCACCTTTCCACCACCCGGCGTCCTTTCCCCAAAAACTCCTTTTTCTCGAGTCTCAACCAAGCGCTTGCCTTGCTTCAGATGGCCAGCCCCTTGCTGCTCAATGCCACCAACGCCACCCTTGCGGCCCTGACGCCCGACACCGTGGCGCTAGGCACCATGCCCGCGCCAGACATGTACCGAGCCCTGGCCACCAAGTTTAGCCTCTATCACCAGGACCCGGCCAATATTTTCGCGCACCTCATCACCACGCCCCTGGGCTTTGTGGCCGTTGCTTGTATCATCAACAGAGCCACTCGTGGCGCCTACCTCACGGCCATGGCCTCGCTGGCCTACCTTCTTGCCCTCGTCCCCATCCTGAACCCACTCGTGCTGGCTGGCACTGCTGCTCTGGTGCTTGCCATCAACGTTGCTGCCGTTCGCCTCCGCCTGACCGTCATCATGTCCCTGGTCCTTCTCATTGCCACCTACTTTCTCCAAGATCTGGCCCATTACCTTACCGGCGAGGCCACCTTTCAGAGCACCTACAGCGCCGGTGGGCACATTGATCTCGCCAACATCCAGCTCTGGTCCGCCATGTTCTACGAACACTGCTACTTTCTCCTCCCACTCTGCGTTGAAGTGTCCCTCCCCACCCCCGTCAAGGCGCTCGTCGCCTCCGCCCCCGCCTGGCTCATCCTCGCCAACCAGCACATGTACCTTGTCCTTGCCCTCCTCCTCTGGGTGGTCGGAAGACCGTCAGAATCTGGCCGTCATCCGCAAGTGGGCCACCGACCAAAACCCCAGCACGAAGCAAACCTCCCACTGGTGGTTTTCCACCCTCCCAGCCCAGCCAAAGTCTGCTTTTGACAGCGTCGCCACCGCCGACTCCCTCATGAACCTCTTTCATACCAAGTTTCACCCCGATCGCTGGGCCGTGGAGGTTGTGGAGGGCATGAACGAAATCTACATCAGCGCCCCCAACGCCAAGGGCACCTCCGACCAGGTCTTTTACACTGAACACGTCGATGGCCCCTTTGGCCTCTTCCCCTTTGCCTCCGTCTTCCGCTGCATCGTTGGCATGGACGCCAACCGTGCCTATGCCACCCATTTTCCCATGGCCGGTCTCTCCACCGCCGTTGCCACGGGTGATGCCCTGGCCTTTGACTTTAATCGCGAGCCCCACTACATTACGCGCACCCCCGAACTGCAAAAGGCCGACCTCCCACCCGACCTTGGTGGGGACGGACGACGCGTTGTCCTCAAGATTCACTACTGCGTATATCCACGCCAGCTCCTGCCCCTGGGCAAGCTCCTTCACCTCGCAAACGTCTTGTACAACATGTGCTTTCGCGCCCTCTTTCTTGCCACCATCAAACCCCCGGAGACCCCCCTCGAGATTCTCTCAGGCCAAGTGGTGGTGCAGATGACTCGCCTCGTCAACGCCTTTCAACGCTTTGTTGGCTTCCCCAACGCCCTCTACCTGGGTGTCCTGGCCTACCTGGCTAGCCCCTACGGCCTCAACTGCTACACCCTCTTCCTAGCCGGCACGGCCTGGATTCATTATTTGCGTTACATTGCCACCTTTTACTGGCGCCGCAACATCAATTTTGAGGCCTTTAAGCGCGACGTTCTCCTCTTCAAATCCGTCTCCCTCGCCCAGCTTGGCTTTTTGTACCTCGCCCGACTTGACCTGGCCCACCCCGACTGGCTTTCGCTCTCACTCATCGCCACGGGCTATACGCTGTCCATCCTTGCAACCAAGGCCCTCGGGATTGACCGCACCTACTTTGGCGTCGAGCTCGGCTTTTGTGAGCCCAAATGGATCACCGCCTTCCCTTATGGCACCATTCCCCACCCCATGATCGTGAGCCAGATGTTGGCCCTGGCCGGCTTTCTCAAACTCGCTGCCCTTCGCCAGGACTATGCCTGGCTCATTGCCGGTCACATTGGTCTCTACTTTTGTCACATGGTGCAAGAGCACTTTGACTTTCACCGTGCCGGCAAGTTTAGCCTGGCTGCCCTCTTCTCCCTGGGCGGTGAGACCGAGCAGGTCCTTCGCCAGCGCAAGAAGACGCAATAAACTTCTGCCCTTGCTAGGCTTCTCTAGCTGCCAGTGTGTTTGTGCAGCAATGCTGCACTTGCTTTGTTCGCATCAACGGATTTACATGTACCTTGTTCCTACGCGTTGCCCGCCAATTGATGCGTCAAGAGTTTGTCTTTTGACCTCAAGATTCACATGTGCATAGTCACACCTGGCTGCCAACTTTTGGCGAATTTCCACTGATTATTTTCTAATTTTTTCTCATTAAATTTTGTTTTTCATGTATTTATCTGTGTCAGGCTCCCGGGCGTGAGCACGGACTTGACATCAACAACATGTTAGCAAACGACCTGATGCCAGAGAACAAAATAGTGTGCCGTCTGACTCTCGAATTGTTGGGGGCTACCAGACGCCTCCTATCAGGCTTCGTGTGACACGACGATAATTCTCAGCTTGACTTTTGATGTTAAACTGGATCGCGGAGTTCTTTCCTGCTCGACGACTATGGGGTCCGAAGCCAAATTATCGTTCGATTGCCAATGTTTGTCTGCTTGCTCCGCTCGTCTACTGACTCAACCTCAACACTGTCAAAAATGATTCAAGAGACCTTGAGCGCTCGAAAAGTCGAGACAAAACTCCAACTTCCTCCACAAAAAAAATACCATCAAGCCGATGATAAGGTTCCAGGAACTCGGTTCGCACGGTTCGCCAAGGTGCGGGGGGTGCGGCGTCAAGGCAAGAAAGCGGTTAGCTGTTGTAGAGAGAAAATGCACATGCTTGAAGAAGTGGGCCAAAGAATGTTTGTTCAGCTGTTTGCAATTGTGTCAGATTTGTGCGACGGTCCGAAGTCGTCCTTGGCTGACCATTATGAAGCACGCGTGTCCGGGGAGGCGTCAAGGCGAGATGGCGGTTGGTGGCACATGAGACAGCCATGGCGCGCGACATATTCAGTGCTGCGAAACCAGAGGATGACGTTGGTCCGTTGACCAGCCGAGATAGGCTCGGCGCGATGCCAGACTTCGCCAAGGTGTAACACGGCCCAACCAAGGCGGTGGGGCCAAGACACAAAGTCAGCCGTCGAGGGCTCATGCCTGGGTGCGGCGGCAGCCGCAGCAGGTGCGATTGCAGGAATGGACGGTGAGACAGGCGTAAGAAAGGGGGATGGTGGTGGCCTCTGCGTTGCCCAACTCACTTTGATGAGCCCCAAAACTGCAGCTCGGAGCCCTCAAAGGCGCCTTGTATGTTGATATTCATGGTCACCAGGCTGCGATATTGGCGATATTGGAAACGAGTTGATCCTGCAGTGAGTTCTACTCTTTAAGCCGCTCACGATGAGCCGCCCAGTCAAATGGCTTGTTGCAGCTCGGCTGACTGGCCGGCCGGTGCAAACCTGTTGTCGTAGTGCAGCGTCAGCTTGCGGTCAAGATCGCTGCGGTACCGCACTGTAAAACATCTGGAGTACGCGGTATCCAATGTGAGCGTAGAGTAGGCACGCAGGTCCACCACGCGAGCTGATCCAACTGCAAAAGACAGAAGCAAGATGGAAATGGCCAAACGCAGCTACAGGCTTTGGGGGTTGTGTTTAGAGGATTGAGGATCGAGGGAGTCGCAATGGTGTGCAGCGTACCGATGATGATCCAGATGACTAAACTCTTCACCCAAGAGAACTCGGACCAGCGGGCGGGCGATGGTGCGCATCAGCACATCGGAGAAGCCAGCGGTGAACCCCAGGTCGGCGAGCGGGGCGCCTGACACGCATGGGCCGCATGGGCGTGAGGACGAGAGCCTCGAGGGCAGTAAGCCTGCCGGCATGCGTCCGACCTACCGTGCTGGGACATGGAATTGACGCTCTCGCGTATGGCCTGATCACATTGGTGATGATAATGATTCAGCTCCGCCAGCAGCCGGGCGCAGAAGGCGGGTCGCAGACAGGGAAAGCCGTAAATTCCCGGGCCGAGCTCCACCAGACGGGCTTTGCCAACGAGATCGTCCCGAGTGGCGCCCTTGTCACACAATTCAATCAGACGGAGTAATTCAGGGGCCACATCTTGGCGGCGTAGCGTCATGACACCCGGGTCCTTGGGCTGGTAGCAGCGCTGAATAATGGCATGGCGGGTGGCCAGGATGTCGGGCTCGCGGCGGCGACGGTCGGCCTGTTCGCGCAGCTCACGCAGCAGTGCCTGGGTGGTTTCCCCGTCAATCTTCCGCAAGAAGCGGGCTTGCTGTCGCACAAACTCATCGGGCCCCGTGTAGTCAAAGTGCCGGTCAATGTCAACGCCGTTGACCGTTGCCACGAAATAGTTTTGCGTCAAATAGCAGTCGCAGTCGCGCGGCAGCTGCCCTCGCGATGCCCCATCAACACCCAGCACATCAACTTGCTTTGGCCCCGCCCGCGCCTGAGCTCGCGCCAGACTAATCCGCCACATTAGCCCCAGCCCAAGCAAACCCACAATCACGGTCGCAATGACCACTGCCACTGGCGGCGTCGTTGGCGCCAGCGCCAGAATCGACTCCGACAGCAACATGATACTGGCGCGCCAACACCTAAGAACTAAAATACTTTATCGATGAGTAACCAATACTGTTATAAGGTTAATCAGATCGTTTAGAATACTATTTTTCACCATCAAGCTTTGATTGTGAAAAACTAAAATACCTCTTGCCTACAAGCCAGATGATAAATTCAACCTCAGGACCATGTGCTGAAATACTTATTGAACACCAGATCAAGTTCTAAAGTGTAAGCATTGGCACATATATCTCCAAATCGCCACCAACTTCATTTGGTAAATCACCAACGAGGTGACGGGGGTGACGCCACTGACTTGACTGACCGCGGGAGGGAAACGGCAGCGCCGTGGTGGAGGAGACGGGGCTTGGAGTTGCGAGGGGGGGGTTTTGAAACATGGTGGTGAAGGTGGTGGTGGTGGTGGTTGCCTTTTGGTTTCATGCTTTGCGTCTTGGTGGGAGGGCTGGATGGGGGTGGGGCAATAGCAAAGTGGTTTTCGGTTTGACTCTTGTGTTTTCAATCAAATGGCGGTGCCGCTATCATCTTGCGCGCGCCTCGAGCCAGTCATGTCTTGCTTCGCCTCGTGAAGACTTGGGCACGTTCTCATCGATTTCCATTTTGCTCTCTCCTCTTTGCCATCGTTTCATGGCTGCTTAGGTTTTCTCGACAAGCATTACATCGGCCGGCTCGAGCTCGACGGTTCTCCTGTCGATTTCCGCCACCATGGCCACCGAGTTTATCGGCAAGCGGATCAGCTTGATTTCCAAGCGTCAAATTCGCTATGAGGGTATTCTTACCGACATCTTTATGGAGGATGCTACCATGACGCTGTCGCAAGGTGGGTCAGGTGGTCTCTTCCCAGGCTGATTCGATGACTGGCCTGGGTTGTTTTGTTTGCAATCGGTCTTTGGAACTTGTTCTCCGTGTCATGGCAAGCGTGAGCTGGAGCATGCGAGCGGGCCTCCATTCTTCTTTTTAAAAGTACCATGACTGCTGCAAATGGCTTCATTCTTTTTGATCTGATCTCTGGCTGTCTTCGTAGTCCGCTGTCATGGTACTGAAGATCGCCCGACGGACCGCCCGTCACCCGCGCGAACTGAAGTATGGGATAGCATCCTATTCAAGGGAGATGATATCGACGACCTTGTCGTCCATGAAGATGCCCCGGCCGACCCGGCACCAGCTGCTGCAGTGACTCAGGCTGCTGCGCCCGCACCGCAAGCATCCGAGGCGGCAGCGCCTGCTCAACCCACTGTGCCTCAGACCGTCTCGGCTCCTAGCCAGGCTCAGGGCTCGGTAGGCTAATTGCTCCATCTATGCTCTTGTTGCTGACTGGGTTGTAGCTTGTGCCACTGACCAAGCACCCTGTATACCCTGACCTGATCGTTATTCCTCCTCATGTAGGCGGCACCCATGCCCGCCAGTTTGCCCCACCCCCCCGCGGTATGTCCAGCCCCTCTTGAATCCTGTTGCGGACTCGCCGTTTGTGATTGTAGGCCTGGTGTTACGTTGCAGCCTGGGTTGGGTTGACTCACCGGTCATGATGGTCGGTTTGTAGCGCACCGAACAGCCGCCGGCCTTTAATCCGACGGGAGTTCGTGGCGGTCGGAATATTCAGGGCGTCGTCGTGTCCTCCCAGGGATATGATGCAGGTTACGGGGCACAGCAACAGCAATATCAGCACGCACAGCAGTCCCAGCAAGCAAATCAGCCTCAGCAGCAGCAGCAACACCAGCCCTACCGACAGCCATACCAAGAGCGCGGTCGTGGCCGAGGTGGTCGTGGTCGCGGCGGGCGTGGTCGCGGCGGTCGCGGCGGTGCTTACAATGCACCCCACGCGCATGTTCCCGAGGTCAGGTTTTGAGTCGTATCGTTTGTCAGATCGTGAAACGTTCCATCGCTCATCACAGTGGGCGTGTGATGGCCATGCGCAGCTGACGGAAGAGCACATTCGTGAGGAGTTTGACATTGAGGCCAACAACAGTCGCTTTGAGCACGACGTGGCTGAGGAACTGGGTGATCTCAGTCTCAACCGTACGTACTGCCCTGACTTGACTTTTCATTCCCTCTCAAAGCATTTGTGGGGAAGCAAGAATGTGTGTGTGTGTGTGTGTGTGTGTGTGTGTGTGTGTGTGTGTGTGTGTGTGTGTGTGTGTGCGCTTGACTCACGCGTTTTTGACGACTCGCTGAACGACTTGCCCAAACCATGGCTTGGCGGTTCTGTGGCGTCCGACTGCATCGGTGTAGCCTACAACAAGGATGACTTTTTCGACAACTTGAGCCGAACGGAGGAGTGAGTTTTGGTACTCCAAGTGTTGGCGATGATCGTGTTTGTGTGTCAACTTACATTGCTCCCCGTGGTAGGCATGATCGCTCAACTTATCGCCAAGAGCGCGAGCTGAACGGCGAAACCTTTGGTGCAGAGGGCTATCGCTTCCGGTGGGTGTCTTTTGCTTGGTGCATCCTGTGTCGAAAGAAGATCCAGATGACTGAGCAAGCGCAGAGGGCTGGGGCCGGGTCAATCTGATATCATCCCATCTGTCTGTGTCTTCACAGGTCGGGTGGTCGCGGTCGTGGTCGCGGTCGTGGTCGCGGTCGCGGTCGTGGTCGTGGTCGTGGCAACGGTCGTGGCAACGGTCGTGGACGTGGTCGGAATTATGCGCGCGATGGCCAACAAGCTTCGGCTCCTCAGGGCGATCAGAGCTCATCAGTGCAAGCCCCGGCTTAAACGCCAATGTATCCGCCTGAACTCTGAGCATGATGAACGATGCTCGATTATGGCAAAAGGGACCAGGTTGAATCATTGGGAACAGAACTGCATTGCTCCAACATATGCTCTCAACCTGCCTTTTCCATCGACCCTGGCCTGTTTCTTTGAGCGATGGCCCTTTCGTACCCGGCGCTTTCTCTTTCTGTCTCCAAAATCAGCTTTGAGACCTTGTTTGAATTTCCTTGCCTAGGAACTCTGGGTCGGGGTTTTCGTGGTCGCTGGGTGTGCTGGTCGTCTCAATGATCTTGGTCCAAACGCCAAGCACCTGCTTGCGCTTGATAATCGAGTCAAGAGAGCCCCACAAAGTGTGTATCAACCAGAAAGAAAGAGAAGGAAAACCTTTTGTAAGCACTGTGTGGAGAGAGAGAGAGAGAGAGAGAGAGAGAGAGAGAGAGAGAGAGAGACTTCAAGAGAGAGAGAGAGAGAGAGACTTCAAGAGAGAGAGAGAGAGAGAGAGAGAGAGAGAGAGAGAGCGAGAGACAGAGAGAGAGAGTCATGCAGTTGCTCGTTTGTGTGGTAAGAGAGAGGGTGGAGAGGCAGAGGGTGGAGAGGGCAGAGAGAGGGTGGAGAGGGCAGAGAGGAGAAGCCAAAAGGGAAATGGTGTGCGTGTGCCTGTGTGCGGGCGTGCGTGTTCCTATCGAGGTGAAACTTGGTGTGCTGGTGAAGCCTGATGTTGCTTGGTGCTGCGAACGGCGAACGGCGGCGCATATTAGGATCGGCGGCATGGCGGGTGACGGCCTCTGGCTGCTTTTGGCGTGCACCGCGCTGCTCATGGCTAGCGCCGGTGGTCAGGCCATGGAGGCGTCGGTGTCGGCCCCCACGGGCTGCACAGGGTACGTCCAGGAGCTCAACCGGCTCTTGGGTAACTGCGTGTTTCCCAATGGGACCGAGGCCCTGGACTTTGTCTGCGAGTGCGTGGATGCTGCCAAGCACCGCGATCAGAGTCGAATTGAGGTCGAGCTCGAGCCGACCAAGACGGCAAGCGACACCTATGCTTATTTTGTCAACGTGCAAACCGACCTGCCCAGCATCAATGAGACCAATCCGCGCCTCGCGGGCAGCCTCGTCAATAGCACGGTTCTGAACACCACCCGCCTCGTGGCTGCCGTCACGAGCCTCTCGCAAGCCGTGTCGGTGGACCTGGATTTGGGGATCAATGCTTCAAACCCCCATGGCCTTACTTCGGGCGTAGTCCAGATCATGCCCTGCCACATTTTGGTGCTCTTGACGAGTCAAGGCAATACCCCCGACTACACCTCGCCCAATGTCACCATCCCCGTGACCATGCTGCTTCCTGATGCCATGAGCGTCAATCTGCGCAGCCCCATCGTGGCTGACGTGTACGGAAAATCCTTTTCTGAAACCGAGTTTCGACGCGTAGCGACGGGTTCCCCCTTGCCCTACACCAACGCCGATATGCTGCCTCTGACCCTGCCCCGTCAATGCGAGGGCTACCAGATTAAGGTTGGCATTTTTGTTATGAAACCAATGCGTATGCGAGTCTGAGCCGCCTGTCGCCTTGTGTTTCATGAGTCATGCCAAGCTACAGACTCTGCATTTGGTCTCTGGGTGGCTTACTGCGGATTTGATGTCACCCCTCTTTGGCTGCCGCTGTCATTGTCTTCCAGACACGCCTGAGGATGGCTGGCAGCGACCTCACCTGTCCGACCGAGTCCAGCGTCGCATTGGCCTTTGCGCGATACCCTCCACCCCCGGTCAATCTTACCTCTGCGTACGTGGCCTTGGCACTGACTGAACGTGGTTTCTGCTTTCTGCTAGCCAAAAGTTTGCATGACGGAACCATCCTGCTCATCGCTCATGATGCGCTGGCGCGTGTGCACAGCTCCTTTCAAGGCACTAACATCTCGCTGAACTGGGTGCCGCCGGTCCACGATGGTGGCTGCGCGCTGGCGTCCTTCACCGTTGTTTTGACCGACTCTAGTGGTACCGTCGTGCTGAGTAGGTTGAAAAGGCCGCCACGTTTCTCGTTTTTAAAGGGCTGATCAAGCTGGGCCCTGACATAACCCTCGTGTCATGCTGTGGGCCTGCGCAGACACGAGTGTGGATGCCTCCAACTCTACTCTGGAGCAGCTTTATCTCGACGGATCAGGCATGGACACGGCTACATTGCGTAGCCTGCAGGTGTGAAACACGTTGCTGGCGTTGACCCCGGGCCCGTCGTCTTATCTTGGGTAGAGCCTCTTGACTCCATTTCGATGCTGCGATCTTGGGATAATCGGCACCGCGTAATCTTAGGTTTGCGTCTCGGCCTGGTCTGCGGCCGGCGCGAGCGATCAAGCCTGTACTTGGTTGGACGAGCACCATGGTCCAAAGAAGCACTTTGTGCTGAGCGCCAACGCCAAGCTGGGTCTCTTAGTGGCTGGCGTTGTCGTTCTTGTAGTTGCGGCCGCCATTTTTGTCCAGGTGTCGTGCCGCAAGAAAAAGGCATACACTCGTCTCCAGTAAAAGCCTCACGTGTTCCTCGGCTCTGATTCCTCTTTGTCGTTTTTTTTTTTTCTGGCTGGTCCTTGATCTTGTACTGTGCTGTTTGTGCTTTTTTTTCCTCTGCTTTGCACACCCACCCGTGTGTCTGTTGGCATATCCCAAAGCCTTTCCGTCGTCAAAAGAGTTGGTCAGTGTCAAGGCCACCTTCTCGCAGTCGAAGCCCGCTGTTGTGATTGACAACTTCACCGTTCCAGGGCAAGGCAGGAGGACCAGAGGCCACACTCATCACACGACAATAACCCTATATTCACCCGCACAAACTCCACCCGATACCAATGCTCACTCTGGTGTAAACCTGCAGTTACTTAATAATCTGCCACACAAACCCTCCAGAGTTTATCAGAAAAGTCAGAAAATAACACACACACACACACACACACACACACACACACACACACACACACACACACACACACACACACACACACACACACACACACACACACACACTCTCTCTCTCTCTTTTTTTAATTTTTTTTTTTCTGTTTCGGGGCACGACGAGTGGGGAGGGGGATATCGGCTGGGAGGGGGGCTGGGGATGGTACCCGTTTGCGTGGCGGCGCAAGGGTTGACGAGGGTATGTCTCTGTGACGCGCTGCAAGCGTCACAGAGACATCGACTGTTGGTCGCTGGCCCGTGCTGGATGGGAGTGAACGGTTTAGTATCAGTTGGTGTTTGAACACGTGCTGCGGGACCGAGTCGTCGTCATGTCCCTCTCCTATTTAGAGGAGCGGTTTGCCGCCTGGGTGCTCTGTTCACGACGTCGGGGATTAACTGGGCCGCAAGCCGAGGACCAGGTTCTGGCCTGGCGCGAATGGCCCTTTGACCTCCTGGACCAGTACCCGCGACTTAGCAAGGCACTTTCGACATGCAGCTTTACCCTCTTTGGCCTGGCCACCAAGCTGCTCTATCGTACGTGTTGTGTCGTGCTATTGGTGGCTCCTCCCTTTGTGTCCAGCGCTCGATTCTGGATGCCACCCCTGCGGCGGCGACAGCCACTGCCCGAAGACCTTTTGCTGCAGCTCTCCTGAATCTCATGGCGGGTGCTTGGTACTGGGTGGTAGAAACACTATGTCGATCCGTGGCCGTCACGGGACGAGAGCACATGACACACTTTCGTGAACGACCCCAAGGAAAAGGACTCATCACTGTCTCCAACCATCTCTCCAATCTTGATGATCCTGGCATGTGGGGCTTTTTGCCTATTGTACGTCTCCCCCGATACATGCACAGCGCTGTGCTGCGACCACACGACGCACGTCGCCAGTAGCAGGCGGAACAAAGAACAAACAAAAACGAGCTGCTCTGAGACACTCACTCCTTTAAACTTGTAGAGTTGGCTTGCTGGCGATCCGTCGCAGCTCCGCCATACGCTGATAGCAGCAGACATTTGTCACAAGCGGCTCGGCTTTTCCATCTTCTTTGCGCTGGCCAACGGCGTGCCTGTTTGGCGTGGGCAGGGCGTGTACCAGCGCGGCGTGGACTATGCCATTGAGCTAGTCAATCGAGGCCGCTGGGTGCACATTTTCCCTGAGGGTAAAATCTTCCAGGATAATCTTCCTCGTCGTATCAAATGGGGCGTGGGTCGTATATTACTCGAGGCCGAGCCTACCCCACTCCTCATGTCCATTCACATTTCGGGCTTTGAGCGTCTGCGGCCGCTGCGCCAGCGCTGGCCCAGTCCTGGGCAAGATTTAAAGGTCAGTCAGTCTCTTTGGGGTTGGACAGGGGATCACTTGAGCCAGTTTCCGTTTTGGATACTCTGCCTATTTCTTTGTCTTGCCTTTGTCTTGTTCGCGCCAGCTCACGGATGTGGTGTGCATTTTTGCCTCTTACCGCGTGTGTAGATCAACCTTGGACCGATTCATGATTTGCGGGAGGAAGTCTTGCGGGCTCGCGAGCTCCCGGTATGTCACAACGGTCCGATCATCTGACTGAGGCGGCGCGTGCTCACTTGGGCTGGCGTGCGCATGAGTAGAACCCAGAGCAAGCCCGCAAGTACTTGACCGACGTAGTACAGAATATTATGCATCAACATCAAGCTCAGCACACAATGCCGCCACCAACGGCGCCCTCCATCCTGACGCCCACGGCGGCGGCCTAGGACATGCTCGAGAGAAATTCAAACTGGAAAAACAGTTGTCGTGTTCGTTGCAGCAATATCAGACCCGTCCATCACAGCCTTGTGCGCCCACATCCACAGTCTTGTAGGCCGCCAACTGCTCCTTGAGCCCTCGTTTTCCCTTTGATAACCCACCCTGCTCTTCCCAAGCGAAACAGGGGTTCAACACGAGGCAGAGAGACGAGGAGAGACGAGGAGAGACGAGGAGAGACGAGGAGCGATGATCGTATATGAGGCAAGAAGAGCGAGAGAGGGAGAAGAGAGAGAGGGAGAGAGAAGAGAGAGAGGGAGAGAGATAGAGAGATGCGAGAGAAAGTGAGATGAGGTGAGTGAAATAAATCCGACACCCCACCTACCCCACCCCCCCAGCGAGATTAAACCCTCGCCATCGAACTCGTTCTCTTGAGCCAGTTTTTCACTCAAGACACACCCTAAACTGTCTGACAATTCGGTGGTTTTTTGCTTGTGAGGCAACTTTCATCAGACGGCGGTGCGATTAACATGTAAAAAAAATTTCAAATCGCGAGCAGCGGGGTCGATTCGGAGGCGAGCGTGGGCTGTTGGGGTTTGGGGAGAGGGGGGTTAAAGGAGGAGTGAGAGGACAAGGGGTGACGTTGGGTTGGGTTGGGCTCTTGCTTTGGAGGTGTGCTGGGTGGGGGGGGGAGGGGGTGCAGGTGTACTTCTCATCATGGCACAGTCGCCAGCTGCCGAGGCGCTCAACCCGCCCGTGATCGTCTTGCCGGCGCGCGTGGAACATGTTGATGGGCGAAGCTTTGAAGTCAACGTTTTTCGCGATGATGTCTTGCCGGGTGGCACCAAGCAGCGTGCGCTCGAGGCCATGGTCTTGGCCAGTGACGCCGCGGAATTTGCCTATGCCGGTACGCATGCGAATCCTGAATCTCAGGCTTGGTCCTGCCCTGTGCATTGCACACGAACATGATGGTCGCTTGCTCGTCAAACCCACCAACGTATGCATCTGGTCTCGGCAGGTCCATATACGGGCTATGCACAACTGGCGCTCGCCGTCGTGTGTGCCCAGCTGCAGCGACAGGCCGTCGTTATCTGCGGGCGTCAGCGTGACAACCAATTGCATCCCTTGACGGCTCGTGCCAAATCGTGGGGCGCCAAGGTGGGGTGGTGGAATTCTTTGGCTTACTGGGGCTAAGCAATCGCCGCGTCCAGTAGACTTTGGTCTTGAGTTTGCTGAGGCCTTTTTGTCTTGCTTGTGCTACGCTGGGGCGTTTGGGCCTGGTTTCGTGTAGATTATTGAGGTGGATTCGTCCGTTCGCCGTCGAGGCCAGTTTCGTGAGGCCACCTTGCGAGAGATTCAGAGAGCTGGCGAGGTACGAAACTGGTGTCTGGCGTTTCAAGAACATTGCATGTCATATGGCGAAATTGGAGGGAGCATCTCACTGGGTGGCACTGCCACAGCTTTACGAGTCGAGGCGGCGGGGCTCATGTTGCCTCTTGCCCTTTGGCTTGGGCTGTGATCCCTTCGTTCTCGGCTTGGTGGAGCAGCTCAAGCTGGCTTTGCCTGAGCGTGTGCTGAGGTGAGCTTTGGTGTTTGGTTGAAGTTCATGCCAAGCAAGCTGTTTCTCGGCGAGCTAAAACTGATTTTCTCATTCGCCTGGTTTGGGCCATGTCCCCACCATGAGCAGGCACCCACCCCGTCGCTTGTGGACGGTGGCCGGCTCTGCTACGCTACTCAAGGTCTTTTCGCTGCTTTGGCCCAACACACAGTTCCTCATTGTTCAAGTAGGCAAGAAGGTTTGGCCCGACATCATGGGGTAAGCTGAGTCAATTTTTGAATTGGGCCTAAGCGGCCAGCTGCAACAGACTCGGGCCATTCACATGTGGTCACCTCTTGTCTTCGTGTGGGCAAACGACACGCTGGCTGACGCGGATGCTGGTGGTAGGGTCACGGGGCTGGGTGACATTGACAAGGGATTGCAAACTGCTGAGCGCTCGTATGCCTGTGTCAAGTTTGTGGCGAACGAACACTTTTATGAGAGGGCTCGCGAACCGCCTCCATATCCATCTGTCTGTACCTACGATGCCAAGGCCTGGTACTTTATCCGCCGTCATGCCGAGCCGGTGCGTGCTATAGGCATGTTTTCATGCAGCCAATGGGTCTAATGAGCAGGCCACGGGCATGCCAATGCATTTGGCTTTTTTTTTTTTTTTTTTAAAACAGATCGAAAATATCACTTTGACCCTTTGTGTGGCACCGAGGTGCTCATTCTTGGTGACGACGATTTGGGAATGCATGTGGTAGGGTGATTTTGTCTGGAACGTGGCTGGTGATTGTCAAACGGTGAGTCAGCTCAAATCGTCAGGTCTTTGGGGTTGAAATTCCCCTGCTTGAGCTATGTGTGAGTGTGCGGCTGCGCAGTTTTCACCTTGCTTCTCGTGGTCTGTGAGATAGGTGCTGAGTGAGGAGGCACATAAGGTTTATGAGGACTGGGTGGCAGGCACTCCTCCAGAGCACGAGTGTGCTGCCGAGCGACCAAGCGATGCTGCTGTGAATGACTTTCAGGCTGATATCTTACGCTGGTATGGGGCTGACAAGGCGTATGATGAGTGGGAAGTGGATCAGAAAAAAAAGCATGGCCATCAAGGTGGCTCGCGCTGGCAGAAGTGAACAGTGCAAGACCTTTTGAATTGAAGTCTTTAATGCTATGTTGTTCCAAGTGCAGCCATCAGGCGGGACAACAAGCGCTGCTCTATTCCATCAATGTGGGCAACTATCCGATCTTCCATGGCCTACGAACATCGCGATGGCGCAAGTTTTTATGGGCAACGAAAATGGAAGAGGCCAAAGCCAAAACATGAGGACCGAGCACAGAGGGCGTTGTGACTGCATCTCGTAAAAGGAACGCACGCAACAAGCTTTCTTGGGAAAATTGACATGTGCTTAATCCAATGGCCGTCAAAGAGATTCAAGGTCAATAACATAAAACAAAGTACTGGTTGAGCATCAACACACGCCTCGATTCACGCGTACCTTGAGCTGGGACGCCACGACCTCTCCACATTGACACGCGGGTGGTGCTGTTGCTGTTGCTGTTGCTGGTGCTGGTGCTGGTGCTGGCGGGGCTGCCAATGCCGATTCGGGTGCTGATGAAAGCGATGGCGGCGGGGGTTGAGGTTGGTCCGCTGGAGGTGGGTGGGCTGAGGGAGATGACGAGGTATTCTTGGTTTGATGGGATCCGGCCATACCCGACATGAGCAGCATGGCCTGCATGGCCATGGGAACGCTTGTGGAGGGGTTGGGGGCAGCGGCGGCAGCAGCGGCGGCATGCCCAGCGGCGTGCTGGCGTTGCATAGCAGCGAATAGGTCAGCGGCTTGGGGTGAGGCAATTGGCCCAGGCATGAGGGCCGAGACACGATCCATGTCAAGACTGCTTCCTCCCAAGCCAAGAGCTCCAGTCAAGGCACCCAGACCCATGGCTCCAAAGCCCGCAGATGATGGAGCCGTGGTGGTAGGGTCAGGTTTTGTGTACAGCTCCACTTCCCCGGCGCGCAACTCCAGCATATCCGAGGTGGCAAAGAGGCGGAGGATGATTGTGTCGTTCTCTAGCAGGCGCTCAGGGAGATCAAAATGGTGGAGGGTGCGCGCCTGGCTCTTATCAGCGTGCGCCCGTAGGGTACAGAGATAGCCCCTGCGTTGCGAATGGCACTCGAGGCATCGCATTCCAGGTGCGGGCCACCAGCCGACCTGCTCAACATTTGATTCGTGCAAAGTAAGCCCGAGGTCAGATGGCAATCGTGATGTAAAGCATCGCCGGAGAAAGAGCAAAACTCACTTCAATCAAACGTTGCGGCTGCTTCCAAGGAATCAAGATCTCGACAGGCTTGGTATCTGCTGTCACGCGCTGCAGCCTGAGCACGGTCTGAGTTGGGGCCGGCCCTGTCTCGGCATCTGGCGCAGGAGGTGGAGACTCTTGTACAACAACCACCGCGTCCACCTGCGACTCCTCCTCTCCTACCTGCGCCACCCCCACCTCCCCTTCTTCCCCCGCCTCAAGTCCCCCCGCTCCCATACGCTGCCACGCTGGCGCCCGCCAGGAAACCCCAGCCATCTCTCTGATGAGCTAAGATGAGCCATAAAATGCTGACATTGTTGAAAGCAGTATCACGCAAACGAAAACAGTGAGATGATGGGATTAACAGAGAGAGCGAGAAGAGAGAGAGAGAGAGAGAGAGTTTGAGAGAGAGAGAGAGAGAGTTTGAGAGTTTGAGAGAGAGAGTTTGAGAGAGAGAGAGAGTTTGAGAGAGACTTCAAGAGAGAGTTTGAGAGAGAGAGGAGAGAGAAGAGAGAGAAGAGAGAGAAGAAGAGAGAGAGAGAGAGAGAGTTTGAGAGAGAGAGAGAGAGAGCTTGAGAGAGAGCTTGAGAGAGATTTCCAGAGAGAGAGCAGTGGATGTTGTCGCTGTTTACGGGTCGCAAGCACGCTGTGCTCCTCTGGTCGGTGTCTGTCGGTCTGTGTCGTAGCAGTGATAGCCGCGGTTGCATGAGAGCAGTGGCTGGGTGTTGGTGTAGGTATAGGGGGTTATAGCTGGGAGGGGTCAGGATTGGTGCTGGTTGACGTGAAGGGGGGCCGGGGTTTGGAGGAGGGGGTGTTTGTGTGCGATCAAGTCCGACAAGATGGCAGCTCGTGCTCGAAGCAGTACCATTGCCAGTCCAAGCTATTGGGCGCGCGAGGCGGCGGCCAGGCCCAAGCAGACACTCTTGCCCGTGCCAGCTTCAATCCTGAGCGATGATGAGGAGGATGCCATGCTCGAGGTGGTCGAGGAGGGCACCGACGCTCAGTCGCAAGAAGACGCGGCTGACCTCGCTGCAGCTCGCACCCAAGTTATCCACGAAGTCCCTAGCCCTGACCTCGATGCAAGTCAGTCAAGTCTACTGTCTGCCGGTGCGGACCGATCAGGTGAGCTTTGCTGTTCTTAAGCCTGATTGTCAAGCCTTCTCTGCCTTCACTGATTGACGGCTTGTGTTCTCCCGGCCGGCAGTCGCCGAGGAGCAACGTGCTACTAGCCCTGCTGTTCTGCCGGATCCTCCCGAGAGCCTGAGTGGCAGCGAATATCTACGTTTGTTGCAAGATCGGCTGCAACTGGCCCTCGACCGTAATGAGGCACTCGAGAAGGAGGTGGATCATCTCCAAGCCGCCCGACAGAAACAGGCCGTTGAATTGCAAAGTCTGCTCTTGGCCACGATGCAGCGGCAAGCCGTGCAACACCGCGCCCCAGCCGCAGCAACACCCAACTCATCTTCGACGGACCTTGAGAACCCTGAACGCCCCGACCAAGCTCTCGAAGACACGGTAACGCTGCCGCTCAGCAGCTTGAGCAGCGCGCTCACAGCCGCTTCGGGCCTCGAGCGTTGGGTTTCGGCGCTCTCCACGGCTGCCGAAGCCCTGCCCATCTGCGTCCTTGACAATGTGGCCCAGGAAGGCGAGCTCCATCGATGTGCCATGCAGCAGGCCGAGTACATCCGAACTCTTGACTCACGCTATCCCGAAGACATGTCCAAAATGACTTCACAAGAGCATAATCAAATGACGGGGTAGGGCTCAGCTCTCCCGGCTCACGCACAACCAACCTTGCTCATGTTCCACTAGAGACAACATTTGGCGCTCTACTGCTGGTCCTCACCCGTACCAAAATAAGAACTCACCTGCCATCCTTTTTCTACGTGTCAGGTATCGCGCGGAGCTCGCGGAAGCCGCTCAAGCCAAGGATGATGCACACGGACGCCTTCAACAGCATTTGAATAACATTGAAAAAGCAGCCGCTCAGCTACAAGAGCTGAGCACCGCCATTCACAGCGGTCTTCTTGCTCAAGTCAACGCCGCAGCTAGCACCGATTCAGTGCCTGAATCCCAGTAGTTTTGTAGTGCCCGCTTCTGCCGCTCTGTCTTACCGCAAAACTCGAGACCTGACTGCTGTGCAGTCGTCTTCATGTAGCGGCGTAGACTCGAGGTTTTGAGGCATTGACCCACGCCCTCTTCTGAAACCCTTCCTGCCGTCACTCTTCTTTTCTCCTGTGTGCTTGTCTCGGACATTGTTCTTGCTCAATCACTTGACTTTCCCGCTCTTGAGCTTGCGATCCCAGCCGTGCAATGTCTCTTGACATCATCGCACCCGTAAGCCCACAAGCACAGTTTGGTTCTGAGTTCAAGATATTAAAATTGCACGGGCATCTGCTGATGCAGGCAGCAAAGAAGTCATATATCTGTACATTGCATGTTTAAGCGGCAAATCAAGCCCAGACGGGGCCATCCTACTCCAGCACATAGCCGGCAGCACCGCTTATCGAGTCAAGAATGTGGCGGCTCAGAGAGAGAGGCTGTCTGTAATATTATGTCGGCCGAAGGATCAAGTTCACGCTGGGTGGCACGGGTTGGGTGGTCTCTGGCACAAAGTTGAGCTGTTCCACGCCAAACCCATAGCGCGAGGTGGTGTTGGCTCGCACGGAGATGTGAATCTCATCGTCAACAACGCATTGGCTTGCGTTAATGTGGGCAAGGTCTGCTCCCAAAGACTGGCCGTTGAAGGAGCAAACAACGGCAAAGGCCGTTTCATCGCTGAACAAGGTATCTAAAGTCACGGCAAAGTCTGCAGCCTCGACCGAGCTGAAATTCAAGGGCGCCTGCACGGTGAACATGACGTTCAAGGCCACCTCCGGGTCGCTCATAAGCGCGGTTGCGCCTCGCAGCATGTTCAATGACCGATAGCCCCTAACCCAGCAGCCAATGTCAGCACGCTGTTGCGGTGGTGCCCGATTTTTCAGCCAAAGCCTGTCTGCCGAGCTGTTGGTCTGTGGATGAGAGCGAAAACCACTTACCAGCCGCCACAGTGAAGATCGTCGGGCCGCTGATAGGCGCACTGCACCAAATCTGTGGGCTCCATGTCGTTTCCCAGCGTACTATTGTAGATATCCACGTACGTTGTGGTGCTGCCTTCACTTTGCCCAATAAACTCGTTCCATTGGCACACCAGCACCACCTATCCACTCCCACGGTGACCAAAGACAAGCCAGAATAAAGTTGATCGTGTGGAAGGGGGTGTGCAGGTGGTGTCGCATACAACGGGCCAGCCTTTGGCTGGCGAGCCTGCTGGGGTGGAAAAAAATAACCTTGGGTTGAGCTTGCGCCATGTATTTCATCTGTTCCAAAAAAGTGGTGCCCTGTTCCTTGCCCTGCGCAGTAGGTGCCAACCACCCTCCCCTGATTGCAAAATGACATGGCGCTTGGATTAAAAAAATTCGCCTTGTCAACCGGCAAGCGGAGGCCAGGGGCGAATTGAAAGGAGCGGGAGCGTACCCATTGAAAAAGGCATTGGTGATGGTCATGGCTTCATTCATACAGTGCGACGAGTCATCGCAGTATTGCGCCACTGTGGGTTGCAGACTTCCGTCCCTGTGTTGTGGTGGGATCGGTTGAAATCAGGTTTGGGGTGTACATGGGAGGCAGGGCGAGGGGCAAGCTGGGAACTGACATCCATGACCAGTATCCACGCTGGACCAAGTCGGGGCGGCCCTGCAGCTGGGCGCCCATGAGGCGCACAGTCAGGCCACTGTCGTTAAAAAAGCCTTTAGTGTAGCTGCCGGCGGTATCCAGGATGGTGACTAGTGGATAGCCCCGAAAATTCTGCCGCCCGCCCCGGCAAAGGGAGAGGAAGGTGGATGAGCGTAGGCTTGGCCTGAGCTTGGACACGAGGCGTATGCAGAGCCCATGCGCAGCAAACAAGCACAACACGTGGTACGAAGCTGCCTGCGGGGCAAGCAGGGAGTCGAGATTGCCGCACCAGCATCTCAGTGGCTTTGGGTGTGGTGAGGTAATTTGTGAAAATCCAATCAATCTCGTCTTGAAACACGTCAGGCTTGGCCACGGGGCCATTATCCAGCCCCAGCAGCAGCGTGACGCACGGGTGGACTTGGTTGGCTTGTGACATGTTGTGGTAAAGGGTGAGCAGGTTGGTGGTGGCTTGCATGATCTCGATCATGTTTTGACCGAGGTCCTGCCAGTTGTCCAGTCCAAAGACGTTGTTGGACCAGTCGATCATGACAAAGTGGATACCTGCGTACCGGAGCCAGAACGCATGAAGACGTAGTGCGCGCTCGTTGTTGCTGCCATAGTTGCCAATCAGAGGAATGGCCTCTTCCATCGTGTACTGGTTGTTATGAAGGGTATTCCACAGCTCGTATTGCATGCCAAAGGCTGTGGGGACTTGATCTGCAACAGTGCGACAGTCCAGGGCGGGGATATCGGCCAAGATGTCGGCGGCCACGGTGAGGGGCACTGAGTTGGAGGCATTGAGCAGCAGCGCTGTGACGGTGGGGTCTTGGCTAGCCGTGCCAACCACAAAAGGCGTGCCGATCGTGTGGGAGAGTAACAGCACCTATATTCAAGTATTGATCGCGCACATGCACTGCACTTAGCTTTGTTGTCAAGCCGGGCTCGAGCAGGGTTAGATCCCTGGGGCATACGGACCTGCAAGGTATGATTTCCAGGCTCGTAGGGAGCGGGGATGAGCCAGTCGGTCACGTTGGCACCGGCGCTGACCGTGCGAAAGGCGCCCCACTGGGTACCATCCAGGAACGGATACAGCACACCATCTTGATGGCATGACACGGAGACACGCCAAGATTGGCCCACCTGGACAAGGGCAGGTGCCCCGACACTCACCACCAAGTTGGCCTCCCCCATCCCCACCACCGAGTCAGCCAACAAGGCCACTCCCATCCACACGCCAATCACCCAGCCCCTGACCATCATCGCGAAGAAGAGGGGGAAGAAAGAGAGAGATCGAGAGAGAGAGATCGAGAGAGATCGAGAGAGATCGAGAGAGATCGAGAGAGATCGAGAGAGAGAGGAAACAACACTACGTCTTAAAAACACCGTGACAGTTGACCGTTACAAAATGACGTTCAACAGAGAGAGAGAGAGAGAGAGAGAGAGAGAGAGAGATTTATCGTTTGCGCGGTTGAGGGGCAAGAGGGTGGTCGTTGAGAAGTTTGTGAGGTTGTGAGACAGGGTCTGGGCGTGCGTGGGGTGGGCTTGGGGCTGGAGGCTCGGGTTATTGTTTCGTGGAGATGGGTGTGAGCTTGGTGCTCGTGGCACTGAGCCTCGGTTGGCTGGGGCACTTGCCTGCGGTGGGTGGAGAGGCGGCTTATACGTGGGCCGAGTTGTTTGCTCAAGATGAGGAAGGGTTTCGTGTACAGCCGCCCGTGAGCCCAGCACATCGGTAGGACGACTCATTGGCTCAGTGGCGTGGGTGGCACAATGACTAGCTTGTGTGGGTGATTCACCTCCCTCATGATGACGCCCCTGGGTGATGTAGCTACAACCATGCCTCGCTCTATGATGCCAAGCGACAGGCCGTGCTGGTCACCTACGGCTATTTCTTTGACCACCGCAATCACCGACCCACATATCCACGGTATTCGCTCGGCCTTCATTTCCTGGCTACATCGCGGCAGTCTCTCAGTCGGAGGCTTTTTGTCTTTTGCTGTGCAGGGATGTCTGGATGTATGAATTGACCGCACGCACCTGGCGCCGTTTGTCGGATGATGCTGGGCCCTCTGGCCGCTACGGCCATGCGATCGCTTGGTTGAGTACGTGAGCCTTGCAGCATTTTGCTCTCAAAGCTTGCTTGCTCACTAATTTTTGTCGCACGGCTAATCCAAGCAGACGAGGATGAGCTGGTTCTTTTTGGAGGCAAAACAGAGCATGGTGTAAGAGTTGGTGACCTTACTTCACCCAAAGCACAGACTTGCGATCCTACAGACAAGATGGACTCACTTTGGCTGCCAGAAAGCGTGAGAAAAGAGAGCGAGAGAGCGCGAGAGCGGAAGGGAGCAAGAGCGAGACAAGGGCCAAAACAATGAGGACATAGATACACGTGCGCAAATGCCTGTCATGTTGCTGGTGGACGCCTGAGCTTCAGGTGTATTCTGTTCGGTAGGACTTGGACGACCTATGGCGTTTCTTCCTGTCCAACTTCAGCTGGGTGGCAGTGCCGCGGAAAGCCGGGGCAGCCTGGCCGGCGCCACGCGCGCTGCATGCCATGACTACACTGCGCACCGGTGCGGTGGAGCAGCAGGCACCGTCGTTGCTGCTGATGCATGGCGGGCTGGGGCGGGGGGACACCTGGTTGCTGAATCCAAGGGACATGGTCTGGCAGCAGAGCGCGGGCAAAGCAAGCAGCAATCCGGGCGTACGCCACGGTATCTCCCTGACAGCGTTACCGTGCAGCCAGCAGCTTTGTGGTCAATCCACGGGGTCGGCAGCCATTCTTGTTGGGGGTGGTCAGGTGCAACCGTTTGCACTTTACAACGATGTTTGGGTCTTCGTCGGGGGCAAAGGTTGGCGACAGGTCTTGTCATCCCACACCAACGAAGCGAATCCGCATCAGCCCGTGCGCCTGAGCGGTGAGTGTTTGTGACATTGTAACAGGCGTTTGATCTTTGCTTTCTTCCGCTCCCAGCGTGCACATGTTTTTTTTTTCTGTGTGCTCCACGAACGCTGGTTGCGCCGAGATGTGCTTATCCTGTCATGCTCACCTCGCGTCGGCGCTTCGATCTTTGGTGTGCCACCCATATGCATGGGGCAGAGGGGGGGTGGGCGCCTTGCGAGCGTAGTTACCATGCCGCAGCATCTTGGACAGAAGACAGCTTACTTCTCTACGGCGGATCCAATTGTGCTGGTATGAGATTGGCCGTGACACATGCATTTTTAGTCTTGCCTTGCGGTCTTTGGGCGTATTTTGGGCCGTGGATCCCTCACATTTTGCCCGAGGGCGGGGCAGCAGGATCTTGTACGTTGTATGACGATGTTTGGCTTCTCAATGTCACAACTGCGAAATGGCAGCAACTATTAGCCGCGGATCAGGCGCCCTTGGCAAGTCGGTAGGTCAATTGCCTGTTGTGTGCTTTGGCAAAGGGGCTTGATTGGGCCTGGGGTGCGTTGACTTGCACGGCACTCATGGCCTTTGGAGTGGACTCAGGTATCACCACACATTGGTCTCGACGGGACCTGGGTCGGCGGGTGCAAGGATTTTTTGCTTTGGGGGCGAGAGCTACAAGCCACGGTACGCGAGTCTCTTGGGTTTGCTTTCAACAGGACGTGGGGTTGATCTGGTGATGTCACGGGCTGCGGCTCTCGCTGTGGTGGCAGGTATATGTACCACAATGGCATGTATGAGCTCCGGGTGTTGTCCGAAGCGGCGGCGGTCGAGGTGCCTCTGCCCCGCCGCAGCCGTGCGGCTGCTGAGCGAGTCACGGTTCGAATCGGCTTGGCCACGGCCGTGATCTGTCTCCTCTTTGGCCTTTGGTTCTACCTACGCCTCAACCCGCACCGCCGTGTGCCTTTAAAGCAAGCCTGAGCCTCGCTCCCCATATGAGCGGTGGTTCAGATGCATCGCATCGTCCCATCGTTGCTGGGATACTTATGGTTTGAAGCGCAGTGAAGCGCAAGCTGTCATGCCTGTTCAAGTCGAGGGTTTTTGAATTTTTTTTTCAGTCTCCTTTGGCTGTTTCTCCGTTGGTATGAGCGAGCGCCGGTCCGAGCCAGCGAGCGCAAGAGAAGGTAGAGGTGAAGTTTCCCGAGAGAGAGAGAGATTTAGAGAGAGAGAGATTTAGAGAGAGAGATTGAGAGAGAGATTGAGAGAGAGATTTAGAGAGAGAGAGAGAGAGAGTGAGATTGAGAGAGATTTAGAGAGAGAGAGAAAGATGTTTGAGAGAGAGAGATTGAGACAGAGAGAGTGAAAGAGACAGTTGAGACAGAGAGACTTCAAGAGAGAGAGAGAGAGACTTCAAGAGAGAGAGAGAGAGAGACTTCAAGAGAGAGAGAGAGAGACTTCAAGAGAGAGAGAGAGAGAGACTTCAAGAGAGAGAGAGAGA